ACAGTGCCCATGTGGCAAAAAAAAAAAATAAAAAAAAAATCAAAGTTTAAGGATCTTCTGGGTATGAGTTGGCATTTAATTAATGAAGGAGTAAAGTTAAGGGACCATCTATCATTTTAACTAATGAACGAGTATTATAGTTTAGGGGCCTTCTAGAAGGTTACCAAAAAAACCCACACTTCATCTTCAAAGTAATTACTCCATTGTTTATGATGTCTGGCTGGGAATTTGGTGAATCTTCGGAGCAGAAGAAAGCGAAGATGGCGAAACTCACATCTGCTCAAGGTATGGTCATCGATCCTGTCTTCTTAAAAATTAATCTCCATTTAGTTATATGATCAAACCCTGCTATGTTATTGCAAAAAAAAAAAAAAAAAAAAAAAAAAAAAAAAAAAAAAAGAGGGCTTTCTGGAATTGTGCTTATTTTGGTTCAAATATGCTTGATTATGCTATTTTATGGTATTGTGTGTAATTGTGATTGGTAAAGATTGAATTTTTGTGGGTTAAGGTTTCTAACGATTTTACGGGTAGGTTAGGGTTTGGTTATACTCTGTTTTTTAAAAATTTAAGTTGCAATAAATCAATGGCCATATCTAGTTGTTGTTGATGAATTAAGAATGAATGAATGATGATGATGATGATCAAAGTTTTGTTGTGATGATTTTCTAAACTACCGTTAATTCCGTTAGTTAGTTGTTCTAATTGATTATTATTATTATTGAATCTCTCTTTTTGATGAGGTTTCTGTTGTTACATGTTGAGATTAAATTGTATGGGTCTTTTTTTTTTTTTTTTGTTTAATCTTCAACGTATCAAATTCTGATAGCTTATTGACTCTTTTTATAACCTTAAACTTATTAAATTATGCTTTAAGGTTTGTAATTAGATAAGAATAGATCATGCATGATATGATCCACCATTATTATTTCAATAATGCTGATTAAATATGTTTACTACTGTATATACCAAAGCAGTAAGGCTACCTTTTCTTGTAATACATTAAAATAATTGAAAAATTATCTATTTAGTTCAATCCTTGGTTTGTGGATGAGCTATAATCAATCTATTAAAAATTTAAGTTGTAATAAATCAACGGTCATATCTAATAGATGCATTCACCTATGTATGGAAGCTTTGGAGGAAGCTCAACCCCTATTCTCCACCCAAAATATTCTGTTTTTATACATTGCAATGTGATCAAGTTTTTATTATGCTTTGAATTGATTCATTGACTTAGTTGAAATTATTGCTTGCTTGGGTTGTTTATTTTGGTGTTGTTTACTATTGTCAGAAATGGATCTAAAACCATGTTTGGTTGTACATCATGGTGGTGAATGGCAAATTTCTTCTGGTGCATTCTATGTAGGTGGGAAGATAAATGTTTTTGATAACCTTCCTGATAATATAGATGGGCATTATGTGAAAGGGTTAATAGAGGGGTTAGGTTATAATGACATTGTGAAGCTCCACTTTTTGGATCCCAAGAAAGATTTGAATAGTGGCATTAGGTACTTAAGCTTTGAAAGTAGGCTTTGTGATCCTTTCTTGTCTCTTCTCCTTGAATACAGACTGATTCACATTTACACTGAACATGACCAACCAGCCACTCCATTGTTCAATCATGGAAGAAGGGGACAATTCATGAGCTTATTAACAGATAACAATGTTTCCGAGGTTATTGGTGAACGTATCCAAACTCCTAGGGTAACCCAACCTTTCACAGTTGATGAAAATGTTTTTGAACCAACCCAAATTCCTAGGGCAACCCAATCTGACATAGATTATGATACAGAGGGAACAGATGAGGATGATGAAGAGTTTGTGAAGGCTAGGGATGATATTGCAATGGATAAAAAAAATCAACATTCTTATGAAGATGAATTGGATATGCTTAGGAAGGTAGCTGCATCAAAGGGCCTTGGTGAGATAAGAACAGATTTTGAGGAGTTTAGTGACATTGAGAGCCCTAATGAGTCAGAGGATGATGATGACTGTGGTTACTTAGTTGCACCCCCTAATAATAAGGTTAGGAAGGTTGCAAAAGCTAAGGATGACGAGTGCATAGAAGACTTCTTCCCTGGTCAACAGTTTGACAACCCTGCTGCATTCAAACAGGCAGTCAAAAATCATTCCATAAAGCTAGGCAGAAACATACCTTTCACAAAAAATGACAAACAAAGGGTAGGGGCAGAATGTGAGAACAAACTTAAGGGGTGTCCTTGGAGAATATGGGCTTCTTGGGATAGGAATAAAACTCATTTCACGGTCAAGTCCCATGTCAGTCAGCATAAGTGTGGTAGATCTCCAAGAGTGAAGAAGATGTAAGCAAGATGGATTGGTGAGACCTACCAAAATCAGTTTAAGGTAAACCCTTATATGAGGCTTCATGACATAATGGAGCTAATATGGTTAGACTGGGGTATTAGAGTGAGTAAGTACATGGCTTTCAGAGCTAGAAAGAGGGGCCAATCCATTATTATTGGGGAGTACAAGGAACAATATGAATTACTTCCCAGGTATGCAGAGGAGATACTTAAGAGCAATAGGGCCAACACTGTGAAGCTGAAATTGAATGGGAATGTCTTTGACAGGATTTACATATGCTTTGAGGCATTTAGGAAAGGCTTTGTAGCTGGGTGCAGGCCTTTCATTTCCCTAGATGGTTGTTTTCTTAAGGGACCTTACGGTGGGCAGTTGTGGCAGTTGGTAGGGATGGGAATAATCAAATGTTCCCTATTGCCTGGGCTATTGTCGAAGTTGAAAAGACTGAAACTTGGAGTTGGTTCTTATATCTTTTGGCTGCTGACCTAGGGACTGATGAAGGTGCTGGGTAAACCTTCATGTCAGATCAACAAAAGGGGTTACTTGCAGCTGTTGCAGAGGTGTTTTCACAAGCAGAAACAAGGGTATGTGCAAGACATGTCTATTGCAATTTTAGGAGTGTGTTTGGGGGTGGCTTAGAGTTAAGGAAACAATTTTGGTTCATAGCAAAGAGCACAACTGAAAATGGTTTTCTTGAACAAATTGATGCTATGAGAAAGCTATCTGAGGATGCAGCTACTGATTTGTTAAACAGGAACTATAAGAAGTGGTGTAGGGCTTTCTACACACCTATGTCTTCATGTGATAGTGTGGATAATAATATGAGTGAGGTCTTCAATGCTTATATACTCAAGGTGAGACACAAGCCAATCATAACCATGTTAGAAGACATAAGAGAAGGTCTCATGGAGAGGTTACACACTAAGAGAGACATGCTCAAGGAGGATGGTCAGCCACTTTGCCCTAGAATTCAACAGCAGTTAGAAAAGCATAAGGTGTGGGCTAGAGGTTGGAATGCCTTTTGGGACGGGGGATTTAGCTATGGAGTCAGGGATGGGTCAACTCAATGCAAGTATGTGGTGAACTTGGCACAAAGAACTTGCACTTGCAATGCTTGGCAAGTGAGTGGCATTCCCTGTAAACATGCCATAGTTGCCATTTGGAAGAAGGTTGATGAACCTGAAGAGTATGCGAGTGAATATTTCATAAAATCAACTTATGCAAATGCGTACAATTTTTTGCTTGAACCCCTAAATGGTCCACAGGAGTGGCCTACTTCACAGAACACAATCATTCCCCCTCCATTGAAAAAGGTCAATCACAGACCTAAGACAAAGAGAAATCCAAGTGTTGGGGAAGTGACTGAAAAAGGGAAACTGAGGAAAACAGGAGTTGCAATGAATTGCAGTTTGTGTGGAGTGCAAGGGCACAATAAAACAACCTGCAAGAATGCCCTAAGAGAATCAAATGCTAGTGGATCTGCTCATCATCAGAACAAGACACAACCTAGGTCAACTCCCAGCATAGTCCCCATGCACAACAGAGGAGTGGGAATTTACACCTACCCCAATGGATACCAAAGAATTGCTACTGTAAGTACCAACTGCCCTATTTATTTATGCCTATTACATCATCTTTTTTAAATCTGCAATTTTAACTCTATTTATAAATATGTGAATACAGCCAAGAAATCAACAAAGACAAAGACAAGCATCATTTTATTCCGATAATGAAGGTGAACAAACCATATATGCTTTCTCCCAAGAATATCCCATGTCACAGTCACAGTCAGAGTATGCATCTCAACCACAACAGACAATCTCAAGTCAAGCATTGCAAGGATTAGCAAAGGAAAAGCAACAGGAGCTAACAAAGAAGAAAACCTAAGGTTAATCCACAACTTTATTTAATTAATTATCATTTCATTACATAATTGCTGGTTTTACTTTTACTACATATGATTACATCACTTGCCTACTTTCTTCTTATTTTGAACAACTCCTAATTACCTTAATTACTAATTTTATTGCAGATACCTTGACAGGAGCTTCCTTCTTCACTGCAGCAGTTTTTTTTTTTTTTTTTTTTTTTTTTGTTGGAAGGATTTTTGCTTTATTTTTTTTGATGATTTTAATGGCTACCAACAACAATATATATAGCCACTTTTGTGTGTAACGACTAGTGTTGTTAAGTATTTTGGAATTTGTTTTTTTTTTTCATTTTTTTTTTTTGCTGTTACAATCTTTCAGAATTAAATTCAGAGCCCCTAAACTTCAAACTACCTTTTTTTTCAACTTAAAATGTCCATGTAAGCATGCAGGTCCTTAATCTTTTGGCAAAAATGAAGTGCAATCCCTAAACTAATGCTGAGTCAACCACAGAAGTCCTTGAACTTTGGCTTAGTTGGCAACAAACATCCCTAAACTTTGCTGACTCAGATGTTGCTCTACCAAGAATGGTGAGCCAAGGGTGGCAAAGGGACCAATTTGCCTCCTTTCATAGATGAGGGATCAAATGTGCAACTAATGGTATAATACAACTCTAGTGTTGTATTATTACATTGCCAATTATTACGAAATAGAGTGAGTAACTAAACATGGGTTGCGGCAGTAAATGCGAAACGGAAAAGTAAAATAGGGAGTTGAAAGATTAGCCGCTTCGCGAAGGGTCCTTTTCTGCAACAACAGTAACAACTCACTCTCTTAAGTTTCCTCAATTCCTCTCCCATTTATAACTTCCCACATTTTCATTTCCCCCACTCACTTCCATTTTTCACCTTCTTCTTCTTCTTCTTCCTCCTCCATTTTCTCTCTCCTCAAAACTTCATCAATGGCGGCCGTTGAACCCCCTCCACCACCAAACCCAACACCCGAACCCAACATGAACCTTCGCGAAGACCACCTCAACCCCACTCCTCTCTACACTCGCATCCGTCTCGCCACCCCTTCCGACGTCCCTTTCATCCACAAACTCATCCATCAAATGGCCGTCTTCGAGAAACTCGCCCACCATTGTCAAGCCACTGAATCTTCTCTCTCCTCCACCCTCTTCAACTCCCCTCCTTTCCAATCCTTCACCGTCTTCCTTCTCGAAGTTTCCTCCACTCCTCTCTCTCTTCACCACCCTCCTACTCTCACTCTCTTCCAACCCATTCACAAAACCTTCCAAATCCCACCTTCTAACCCTGTTTCCGACTCTGAAGAGCTTCTGTTTCGCACCAGTGAAGGCGCTACCATTGCTGGGTTCGTCCTCTTCTTCCCGAACTACTCGACGTTTCTCGCCATACCCGGGTTTTATATCGAGGATGTGTTCGTCAGAGAGTGTTACAGAAGAAGGGGTTTGGGTGGGTTGTTGATGAAGGCGGTTGCGAATCAGGCGGTGAAGTTAGGGTATGGAAGAGTTGAATGGTGTGTTCTTGATTGGAATGTTAATGCGATTAGTTTTTATAAGAAGATTGGTGCTGATGTTATGCAGGAATGGCGGATTTGTCGACTTGCTGGCGACTCTCTACTTTCTTATGGTCAGCCTAATTACTGATAATAATGAATTAATGATGATGCTATATTATCGAAGTATATGCTAATCAAAGTTCAATGTTGATCGGATTTCATAATTGCAAACTTTTGTTTTGATTTGGGTTGTAATTTGATGTATCTGTTCTAACTCAGTCAGGTTGGAAAAGTTGTAGTTATCTGAGATTGAATTGAATGTTTTTAATTCTGGGTTATTGCTGAAAGATTTTTCATGTGTTGCTTGCTGGTAATTATCTGTGTCACATATCTTATGGATGGTTTGTTGATTGTGATTTGATGTTTGTTTCGTGGTGTATTTATTTTTGTTCGATTGGTTTTGATTGTGGTGGTTGATTAGGTTTTCTTGTTCTTATATGGCTTGTAGTATGACAGGACTATAGGATTTTTTTGAAGGGGTTAGGATTTTTTTACCTAGGATTATACCGTGCTCAAGTAGTGTTTTGTTTTTTGTATCCAGGGTGTAATCGTGTAATGCAGATGTTTGTATGATGAAGGTGTGAAGTATTAAGAGTCGCGACTAGGGGTAAAACGCCCCGAGTGGTTGTTTTTGATAGTGTGAGTATAATTAGTTCAAGCATTTGTGTGAGGGAGTAAGATCCCTTTGATTAAATTTCGTTGCTCTTCGTGTCTTTGGTAAAATGTGAGGCGGCTATGTCGTGGCTGTGATGTGTGCAACAATGTTTGAAGGGTGGGTTGGATTTACTATGCTAACAGGGCTTTGCTTTAATGATATGTATTAGTAGGTGAAGATGTAGCAGCTTAAGATTACCGCAAATCTATTATCAATATTTCTTAATGAAGTAGTAGATGTGAATTTCGCTGTGTTTTGGCTTGGAATAGTGTGTTCAAAGTCTATATCTACATTGGACTTTCAAATGCCTTACTCGGGAAATTAGGTGAGTTATATTGTTGTAAAAGAGTCTCGAGTAACATGATTTTCTGCCTAGAGGGTGACTGAGTCCTTAAGTCATTTGAATGCAGGGGCTGGTAATTGCCTGGTAATAAATTCCAGTGAGACAAAAATTGCTAATTTTAGTTCTGACTCCAGAAAGAATCAAAGAATAGATTATTCCAGACTTCGGTTTTTATTAGAGGCAGTATGCATTGTAGGCATGCTTACTGAATCTATAAGGATTGTTCATCGTTAATGAGAATTGCTCTGATCTCTGATCAGTATCCTATATTTTGAGTCATTAAGTAATAGTTGATGTCTGGTTGCTCTTATTGACTGAGTAGCAAGAGATTGGCTTGATGTATTTGAATCTAGTCACATACCATTTGCCGAGGCTATTACAATGGATTCACACCATGAATGGGGGATGTTATACACCAGTATAGTGTGGATTTCTAGTATGTTGTTGCCTCTTAGAATATTCACCTCCTAGTGGGTATACTTGAATGAAACAAGTTCAAGTATTTGTCTATGATCTCATTCATTCATTCAATATCTTTGTGCCCTCTTTTGGCAAAATTTAGGGAAATTATGGTGTGTGCTTCAATTATTGCCTTGTTAAGAGCTTGTATAGTATTTGAGGCATTTAAAGAGTAGGTTGTGTCGAGTGTTGACTATGACAGGGCTTTAATGTGATACTTGGTAGTTCTAGACTTCTAGTCTTATAGATGAAGATAAAGCAGCTTAAGATAAGATGATTAGTTGGATACTATTAAAGCTACGCGTTGGGCATGGCTTTCATATTCAAGTGTAAATTCTTGGTTCATTTATGAAATTTTTGCACGATTTCATCTGGTTCGGAGTGTTCTGAGTTCATACTGGCGGAGTAGTGAAGATCTGACTCATGAATTGGGGCAGATACAAGAGGCAAAGTATGGAGTTAGGATACATAAATAATTTAATACAATTATCTGCTTAGAGGGTGAGTCACCCTTCATTTTATTTGTATATGTTGGGGGGAGGTGATTGTCAGTTAAAGCTGATTAAGTTTCTCAATCATAGAACTTTGCAAAGATAATGGGAATTTGTGTGTGAAGTAACTGTGAAGTAAAGCAGCTTATGCTTATTGATTGGTGTGATTGAATCCGTTCATGACTTTTTCCTTAGCCTAGGGGTTTTTGTTGTTCATATTATAATGTATTTTAAAGAAATTAGGTAATTGTTCGACCGAGCAGTGAGTGAGCGAGTGGTGCTTAGGAAGTAGACACCTTAATTTTCTGTGTGTTGGGTTACTTGGGTAATCCGACATCTATTTATTCATTCATTTCCTGGTCGCCGTTTGGTTCATGGGGTGGAAGAAGTAGCTGCGATCCTGTGATCCTCTGTTGCTTTCTATGTTGTGCTGAGTTGAGCATAATCTATTCGGAGTTGTTTAGCGATTCATAGTAAGGGTGCCCAGTAGTAAATTCTCTTGGTTATTGAAACATTTTCATTAGTGCGATTGAATGAAAAACTTGATGCTTGTGGTTTTGCAAGTAAAAATGGCCATATCAGATCCTTGGTTAGCCCGTGTAATAAGTTGAAGAAGTTTGGGCTTCATTTGATAAGTAGAAGAAATTGGGCTTCGAATGTGTTTATTAGGTCCATGATGCATAGCATAAACATTTAAAGCCCGCTTGCATAAAGATTATACAATCTGCATGTAAAATTTGGGCTTCAAATGGATCAAGGTCCATTATTCTTTATAAACTACTTTCTTTGTTCCACAAATATTGCAATAAGATGAAATTACGCTTCTCAAAGTACATTTTATATGTTAAATATTTATAATTATATAATAGTAAAAATTATAAAAAGTTGATATTGTAAAAGTATTTTACGAGACGAGTCTAACAAGACCTCGTATGACTATATTTTACTTTACGTATAAATTATAATTTGTGGTCAAACAAGCATGATAATAGTGAAAAAGTCCAATTGTTGCAATATTACTAGAATGGAGGAAGTAATTGCTAACATGTAGTAATGAATATCATCATTTGGAAACATTAAAAAATGAGACAATGTCTTTCAAAAAAAAAAAAAAAGACTATTGAAGTTACGTCGACTACAATATCTCTTTAGAATCAAGTTGTGCCCGTCAAAATAAATAAATAAATATATTTATATAAAAATCAAATTGTGACTGAGCAATAAGAAGGTGATGCGTCACATAATAAGAAAATGTGAAGTATGGATCATATAATATCTTGAAGATTAATTTAGAAAATGTATAATTAAACTTGTATTTGGGAAGTTATCTTAAAGACGTGAAAGTTTGGCAGAAGGAATTGTAATTCATCTTTGAGATGAGGCTATCATGGGTTAAACTGAAACCTTTGCATATTGGATATAAAGCTAAAATTGTATCATTTTAAGCAACTAAATCCATAATTGTATGAGTATTTCTCATACTAAGAACGAAATTTTGTTTTTCTCGAGTTCAACTTAAACTTTGTCTTGTATGAATTTGGAGGAATAAAGCTCAAAACAACAAGGAACGTCCAAACTCGTGCAATTATGCATTTAAGCTGAAATAGATTGTGATAAAATGTTGTCCTATTAATGTTGTTATCAAGGATGGTGACAGTAGACATTTTAGGAAGCTAGCATGCACGACTTAGTTGGATTGTGTGGAGAAAAGGAAGTAGCATGCGACATGGAGGTTTTCTAGTCCCTATCAATACTAGCATGTCAACTTTAAGTATCCACAATCAAGGTTTGTGTTGTTGGGTGATTTGTGCTGTGTCACACTGCCATGATCTATGAAATTTTCTCGTCTATACGTTTAAAAATACGTACAATAAAGATAAATTGCTTTCGTTCCTCCCTTGCCACAGTGTGACTAGTGACCCTAATTTTAGAGATTTCTATCAATACAACCTTAATGTTAGGCGCCTCAATATGAGGCTTTATGTAAATTATTGTCAAACCTTATACTTGCTTAGCCCATGAGCTATAAACCATAGTACATAGAAGGAAATAAATGGATCTTGTGATGCATTTTAAGTTTCACACTTTCTTTCCACTTGCATACAATATTTATCATTGTGGTTCTTATTTATTGGTTACGCTTGAAATCTTTTTATGAGAGAAAAATGATCAAAGCGTAACCAATAAAAAGGAACATAAAAAGTAATACGTAAGAAAATCGAGAAGTCGAAATTATATATATTAGGAGAAATAACTAGATCCCACATAATTGTACTAATATTTCAAGTTTTCAACGAGAGTATATGATAATGTATAATAATACGTGGAACAGTTAATCCGTAGTAGAAGAAGTACTCAAGTACGTCAATGGTTTGAAATGAGGAATCGGTCAAAATCAAAACTCAAAACTAAACATGTTAGATTGTCGAGTGCTAAAACATTACACTGCTTGAAAATTGAAACCCTTTTAGCGTTTATTAAAACCAAGCTCAATGTTGTGTTGACTTGTTGCCAAAATGCCATGATGTTCAATTCAATCCACATGGTCACCAAAACAAACAATTCAATTATCATAGATTCATAGTGATGATAGTCAGACAGAAATTCAAATCCATCATAATTACTTCTTTTAATATCTTTTTTCTTATCAATTCATCTAAACCAAAAGGCCAGGTAAGGTATAATAATCATACTAATGCTAAAAGATTCAAATTTGTGATCATTTTAGTCATAGAATCTAGGATTTTCAAATATGAACCATTTTTTGAGCATGGCAAATGCCCATAAACAATTAGCTGTTAGTAAGTTTTAAATTTTATTTATTAACTATTACTAAAATAAAGTATACTGACGTAATTACTGTTCATATGTCACTCTCTTAATGATTTTTTCCCGCCAAAATGCAAGGATGATGTCATCTTTTATTTATTTATTTTTTGTTTGGAGCTACCCTATTTAACATTGTTGAAATTTGAATATTAGAAGCTTCTCCATTACAACTACAACCTATCAATTTATCTTAAGAAATTGAAACAATTTCATATAACACATTAATAAATAACCTCCTTCCCTCCTGATTCCAAGGGATCCTTGGATCGATTCTCACTCCCGCTCTTATGGCTTTCTAAACACAAAAAAAAAAACATTGAAATATGTATTAGTTGACATTGAATAGGTACTATACCATAATTTTGATGAAAATCTAAAATTTTAAAATTACAAATATTTTTATACACGGTGCATAATTCTTAATAATATTCATTTATAATAGCCAATTTATTATAATAATGTAAAAATTACAAAAAAATAGGTTTTATACATATAGACCGTGCATCGCACGAGTTCTAACCTAGTTTTGTTTATAACAAAATTGTTTGATTGTTTTTATTTGATATAGGGTATAGATTAGGAACATCTTCCTCTTTTTTCGTCTTAATAAAAAAAAGAAAAAAAAGGAAGGCCTCTCACAAGACCGTGTCATAATCTATAGTTACAAGAACATAAATAGCTCTTCAATTGCGTGAAAGTCATTTTGAAACACTTAATGAGAAACATAACTTATATTAGGGTGTTTTGTTGTGCCTGGCCAAGCTATATCGTGCCTTATCGACTTATTGTACTCTTGCTTTCCCAAATAAAAGTAACTTAAGTGCGATCTACAACCTAGCATACACATCTTCTATACTAGGTTGGATCATGTTATGGGCCGACCCGACTTAATGCATGTCATTTTAGGTGTATTGACAAACACATACCCAGCAAAGTTGCAAAATTAGCAATAATTAAGATAAACAAAATTGAGGATTGTAAGGCCTTTTTAGTTCAACTTATTTTTACTTATTTCAGAAAAAATAAGTTCAAACCAGATCAAATCAGAAAAAATAAGTTCAGATCAGATCAGATATCAAAATATAAGTTCAAATCAAATCATCATTTTATGTGCAATTTTTTATCGCTAAATATCTTTAATTTCGTTAAAAAAATTATGAAAATTACATATTAATAAAATACACATTATTACGAATCTAACAAGATCCCACTTAATATATTTTTTCCTTACAAATTATCGTACACTTAAGGTCAAAGTTTGGTCAAATAAGACAATAAGATCAGATCAGATCAGACCAAATAAGATAAGATCAAATCATATCAAATAAGCAAAAATAAGATGAACTAAATAGGGCCTAAGAATTAGAACAATATTTGCTATAACCCACAATACTTTACTTGATGCTTTAGGGCAAATATGTGACTATTAATAAATTTTATTACTCCGTATCCATTAGCAAAACTAATACATTACTAAAATTTGGTATATTGTAAGTTTGTAACTATACATTAAGATTAGGTCAATATTATTTTATATCAGCATCAACTATATATAAATAATTAAATACGATCTAATTAAATGTAATTTGTAAAAAATAACATAAGAAAGTTAAAACGAGAAATACTTATACATTTCCACCATCCCTTTTGTTCATTTTTTCATATACATTGCAGAGTTTGTACTTGTTAGTTGTTGCTAATAATAATGGTTAATGATTTAATATCCCCATAACATTCGTATTCCAGAAAATGAAGAAGTCTTAAATTAATGTATGGAATTGAAAGCTGAGATCATGTTCCGCAAGTGAACCCTGACTGGTGACGTTGGATGGAGTACTGTGTAAATGTGAGTCAATTGTTAGTCAAAGGAAGGGACAATTGAAGCGTAACCTCAACGGCAAATTATCCTTATTACGCTTCCTTAAGTTTTTACTACTGAACTATCTCCAAGAAATATTCTTTTCTAAGGTTTTATTTTAATGGTTTGATCCTGTATTTGGTATTCCTGTTATATTGAACTTCAATGGTTTATTAAGGTTTTCATTTAATTACCTGGTTTCTTTGTATTCCTCCGTATATAAGTAACACTTGACCAAGTGGTAATATTATCAAACCTCAATAGATGTTTGTTGCCTTTGTTGGGGATAGAGTTATCAAAAACTAACCCGATTAACTTGAGCACCTGACTCAACCCGACCTAAAAAAAATCCGATCTAGATTTTGACTTGTATGGGCGCATTGATTTAACATGATTTAACCTTGAAATAAATCTCAGCCGACCCGACTTCACTGAAACAATCCAATTACCTGAATTGATACCATTAGTTCGGGAGTGAAAGTTTTTATCATTTCCTTTGTTTATTGTTGTGTATCTAAATAAAATAATGCTTTATTTGAAGAATTGTTGATTCAGTAACGTCTTTCATGAATTTGTTCTTATCTAAATGAAAAGCCTTTATTCCATATATTACACATACAATAATAACTAAGGTCACGATCTAGCTAGTGATATGACTTGATAACTTATTTTCTAATTTGATCTGAACTAGTTAATAAGAGTACGAGTACTACGTAAGACTTAAAATAGAGTGAAGTAGTGAAATGAATATATCCTTTTAGAACCCTTAATCTATTACATTACTTGGTATATGATTAGATTAATTTTCTAACTTGTACTTCAATTTTTCTCTAACTCGTTAATCTTTGTATTTTTCAAAAGGACACTCTTTTTTAAAATGTTGATGAAGTAATAAATAAAATAACGGTTAAAAAAAAACAAGTACTACTCCGTAAAAGAAGATTCCTTGAAGCAAATAACGTTTAATAGCATCTCGAGGTCAGTCCTTTAAACAAAAAAAGTAAAACCCGCAAAGTGAACAAACAACGCAGCAAAACCGCAATTGCTTCCCCATATCTGCACTCACACATTATCACACAACACTCCATTTCTCATTTTCTCCTCATCACTTTGCTCATCCCTAAACCTCTTCACTACCACTGTACTTCCCACCTTTTTTTTCTTTTTCTTTTCTTTTTTGACCAATCTCCCTCTCCTTCTTACTCGTAATTCTTTATTCCCCTCGGGTTTTCTTTTTAAATGCATCACTTTCCTAAATCGAGTGTATGTTATTATAACAAAGGGAGTCCACTCCTGTACAAAACTTGACACTACTGAACTGTATCACACTCACTATTTCCTTTTTTTTTTTTTTTTTTTTTTCTCTTTCTCATTTTATGCCAAAACCAACTTCCCTTTTTCTCTCTCTTCTTTTTTTTCTACCAAAAATTTTTATTCTGGGTCCATCATAAAATTCCCTCTTTTTCTTGCTTTCTGTCTCTATTAATCACTCAATTTCAGTAACTCATTTTTTGTAGTTGAGGGTCTTCAAAGAGAAACTCACTTAATGCCAAATTCCTCTTAATACAACAAAAGCGTTGTAAAAAATCTAAAAATTGGTTTACCAACACTTTTTTCCGTCGGTTTCTTCTGAAATGAGTGAAATCCAAAATTGCTAAAAGAACTCACTCATTTCACTGAATTTCATCTGGGTTTCTTCTACATTGGTGGATTTCTCTGCATTTTTGGCTCCCCTGTTTTTTCACAAGGTTTTTCTCTCTCATCATAAATTTTTTTTGTCTATTTATAGTAATTTTAGTTTCTGGGTTTTGCTTATTTACAGTTACATGAATGTCATTTATTTATTTATTTTTGCATAATTTTGAAAATTTGTAGGCTTAGTTGGGAAAGAGGTGGAGAACGAAACAAATCACATTGCATAATTGGTTGATTTTTAGTTGTATGTTTTGTGATGTATGCTTGAAATTAGTTGACAATTTCTGCAAATTTTTGTTTTTTTTTTAAAAAAATTGTTTTATTTACTTGCATTTAATGTCCTACAAAAAAAAAAAAAAAAAAAAAATCTAACGGCTAGTCTTGTTACGGTTAGATCCCACGATAATTTGCTCATGTACCGTTTACTATGATTAATGTTTTATTTGATGTAAATTAGCTAATTTACAGCAACTAAATTAAATTTTTTTAAGTGTTAACAGTGAAATGTTATATTAGAGTTGTATATTACCTCTATTTCAAAATAGTTGTTGTATATTACCTCCTAGTTTTAGTATATCGAAAATAAAAACTAGATCCAAGTATTCGACCATTAATATTGTGTACTTTCGATGCAAAATCTTGTATGAGCCCGACTTTGTAACTGGAGGGGCTTTTCGACTTAAAGGGTAACTCGTCACTATGTCACGAATAATTCCTAACAGAAGTTATTATAAGTCCGTCTCACCTAAAAGTTGTTATAAATCGAATAGTAGACCACATAATGGAAATTTGGTAACTGAGTCACCTTTCCTTTTCTTTCTTTTTTCTTTGTATCTTTATTATCTTTATTCCTCTTTTTTGTCGCATTATAGTCCAAAGTTGTTTCTGCATTTTTTGTCAGAGGATGCCAATTGACAGTTGGAGCATTAAGCTTCTGTTGTAAAATAATTAAGTAAGTGTAATGGTTTTGCTTTTGCTACTTAGCTTAGTGAACTTGACAGGTAATTAGGGAGTTATAACTGGACAAAGGAGCTTAGTGGATGTCTTTTAATCCATTATATGTGCTACGTGTTCAACTAAGAAAATTCGGCGGATATTACTTTTAGAATATGTCTCAAATTAGTTTGCCCCATAAGAATGACCTAGTACGACTGTACGAGGGTCTTGTTGCTCAGTTAACGAGTCCGGGTTTGGGGGGTGCAATGTGCCCTATGGTGTTGCCCTGAAGTTGGTGATTGTTATATTGAGCTTATGAGCTATGTTTTATAGTTGAGCACTTGAGCAAGCCTAATTTTAGGGCCTATTACGTTTCTATTTTGGGGTAGTATTTCAACTCTCTAGGTCATTAACCTATCATAATTTTGTATTCTAATGTATATTCCTCGTGGATATGGCTTACACATGGCTAGTGAACCACATATATTTCATTATTCTATGTTGTTGTTCCTCGCTAATCCATATCGCATTTGTTACAACGATTAGGAATATTTGTTTTAGACTTTTGGTCAATTGTACTCCACAAGTAGTCAAGTATTCCCTCGGCCCAGAATTAATAGAGTCACATCGGCCATTTATTACCTACATAATTAAGAATTTGTCATGATTTTACTAAAATCTCCTTGATGTCACTGAGTTTCAAAGTGAATGTCGTAATTGCATCCTCTCTTCATTATTCGATTTAAGCAAGGGTATGCGTAGGATTTAACGCATAATCTAATGTATTTTTAGAATTGTAACACATGTTTTTTAACGTTCCAAAATAGTATAAATGACTACTGATTTTAGGTGGATGGAGAGAGTAATGACTTTAAAGAAAGATTGAACATCAATTATCAAGGGTAGTGTTAGGAGCTTGTCTAGAGAAGATGTGTCTTTTTGAGGAAAGCATATTAAACTTTTTAATTTTTAAATTTTGCATGGCAAAGTATGGTTTTTTACTTTTGCTTTTTTGCTTATAATGGGCATTGGATTCTTTCTAATCTTTCTTTTCTTTAGAGGGCTGCTTTTTAACTTTACTGTATATTATAAATTTAATTAGGATCTTTCAATATATAGATAATAGTAGTATATATTCCTGAAATGCTGGGTTTTATTTCACTTTAAATCTTAAAATGTTAAATAATTCCCTCTAAGTTATCTGAATATGATACATTTTTTGTGTGTTTGAAAAAACCCTCGACCTCTCACTCTGAGGCAATACTCTAAACAATTGGAGCATATTTTGATTCTTGTTTATTTGAAAACGAAGAAGTTATGATTGTAGCTAAGAGTACTAACGTACAATGCATTAATTTTTATTGCATGATGTTGATTTTCATAACGTGAAAAGTAGGTAGCCCTTCTAGTTTGATTACTTAATAAGTATATATTCCTTTTTGCATGATAGAATCATTGAGAGGACATTTGCACCTAATATAATAAAGGAAAAAGCTAGAAGAGATTAAAAGAATTGGTGGTCCTCATTATGGAATCATCGAAAGTACTATATACAATTTTTGTTCATAATTAATTGTATGTGTAAATCATACTAAAGTACGAAAAATTGTAGACCAAAAATTGCGAATCATTTTTAATGTCCTTTGACCTCTTTCTTTTTAAGTATGTATGTATGTATGTATTCGCTTACAGTATCCATTAGTTGTTCGATGCCTTGATCATTATTGCAGGAAATTTCAATTTAGAGCAAAATGTAAAGATTATATGGGTTGATTAGATTCTTACTATTAGTAAAGATGATAAACAATATCTACATATATGTATTATTTTAAGTTAAGTCCATATCGTTTTATTAGATACTCCCAGTGAAGTGCAATTTTTGTTGAGTTAATCACTCTTTTATCACCCTGATAAATTGTTGATCAAAATAGGAAGCGAGATAAATGAAGTGGAGCAATGGGAATGGCTAAGTTCTCTCTGATGGTGAAGATATTTAGTCGATGTCATGAAAAATAGTATTTAGTGAGGATAACTGTCTGTAGTCAAAGCTGTATCCTGGTTTTTATGCAATGCATATATGAATGCTGATTGAGTTTAAAACTTATGATGTAGGTTTCATCTTCTAATAATTGATTTTGCTTTTGATGATGCAGTGTTCCTGTCAGCCTCTCCCTTCAGATGCAATAGTCATAGAGGCTTTCTTATTGAGACAGAATATTGAAACCACGGCACTGCCTCATGGTTTTATTTCTGCATCTAGCATCTTAATATAGCTTCAGCAGAAAATCCACCATGAAGCGTCAATCCTCCTTGCTAGAACTTTCCGTCTTTCTTATCCAAGTTGCTATACTTCCTCTCATTTGTGCTGACTTGAACTCAGACAGGAAAGCTCTTCTTAACTTTATAGCGAATGTTCCACATGGCCGAAAGCTTAACTGGGATGTTGCTTCCCCAATATGCACCACTTGGGCTGGTATTACTTGCAATACTGAAGGAACCCGTGTCGTTGCTGTCCATCTCCCAGGAATTGGTCTTGTTGGCTCTATACCATCCGGCACCATTGGGAAACTAGACGCACTTGAAATCCTAAGTTTAAGATCAAACAGCCTTCATGGAAAAATTCCCACTGATGTTGCTTCTTTACCATCACTGCAATCTTTATTCCTCCAATCAAATAATTTCTCCGGGAGCATTCCCGAAACACTATCTCCTAGACTTATGTTGGTCGACTTAAGCTTTAATTCCTTCACAGGAAGAATTCCACCAACTATCAATAATTTGACAAGGCTTATGGTGTTAGATCTCCAAGATAATATGCTTTCAGGACCTATCCCTGATCTTAACCCTCCAAGGCTCAAGGTTTTAAACATAAGTTACAACAAGTTAAATGGCGAAATTCCATATTCACTGAAGAAGTTCCCTAGTTCATCATTTTTGGGGAACTCCTTATGTGGGTCGCCTCTGGACAATTGCTCCTCGAGTAGCCCATCACCTGCTCCAGCTTCCTTGGCATCTCCGTCAACACTCCCTATGAAGAGCAAAACTGGCAATCGCGGGAAATTGAAAATAGGTGCCATCATTGCTATAGTAATAAGCAGCACTTTTGTGTTGTTTCTTGCTATAGTGATTTGCTTATTATGCTGTTTGAAGAGAAGAAATGTAGAAGATAGTGCGGTTGATAAAGGGAAAGAAGCGAATGCCAAGAAGGGTAAAAACCAGTTGCCAAAGGAAGACTTTGGGAGTGGTGTGCAAACAGCTGAGAAGAACAAATTGGTCTTCTTTGAAGGATGCTCATATAACTTTGATCTTGAGGACTTGCTTAGGGCTTCAGCGGAGGTTCTTGGGAAAGGGAGCTATGGAACAGCATACAAAGCAATTTTGGATGAGGGAATTGTTGTGGTGGTAAAACGGCTGAAGGAGGTGGGAATTGGAAAGAGGGAATTTGAGCAACAAATGGAGATGGTTAGCAAGGTTGGTCAACATCCAAATCTTGTGCCTCTTCGGGCTTACTATTTCTCTAAGGATGAAAAACTTCTAGTGTACGATTACATGCCTGGTGGTAGCTTAAGTGCCGTCTTGCATGGTATGCTTACCTTAACCCTTTATTCTCACTGTTTTACATGCATTTATGTCCCTTAGCTAAATTAGTAACTAAAGGATTTTGATGCCCATACACAACCCAAAACTCAAACTCTACCTGAAATCCCTTGACCCGATAACTAATGTATCTAATCATGGTTATTTTATTTAAATAGTTATATTAGCACAATAGAAAATGACCCGACCTGAATGGATACAAACCGAAAATTAACCTTAACGAGCATTGCCCGAAATGGACTGGTATAGGACCCGACTCAAATTGACTTGCAGGACCTGATTACCACCTCTATTTACAAAGTAAGTAAATTATAGGAATAGAAAGAGGACTAGTGATTTTCATTTGATGAATTCTTATTTATTGCTCAGCTGTTGCAGTTTATGATGAATGATAATCATTCCACTAGTTTCTGGAGAGCTATTTTCTTGGGGAAATCTTCGATTGTGAACTGCTATCTGATTGATTTTGACTGATATAAGAATCATATAAACTACTAGAACTCTAAAAGCATAAGCATCTGAAAATTTGTTGTAGAATAGCGTATTCCAAAGATTATATCTGCATTCCAGTGACATCAATGCATTAGGAACACAGGAGTCAGAATGCTGTCGTTCACTTGTTACTGTAACCTGTGAAAATTTTAACTGCTTCAAATTTGCTAATTTTCTGAAATTATGTTGCTAGCATTTTCTTGATGCATCCTTGTTCTGACTTTTCAGGCTATGGTTACAATGGAAAGACTCCCCTAGATTGGAACTCTAGAATTTCAATTGCACTAGGAGCTGCACGAGGAATACTCCACGTCCACTCTGAAGCCGGTGGTAAATTCATCCACGGAAACATCAAGTCCTCCAATGTCCTCCTCACACAAGATCATGAAGGCTGCATCTCTGATTTCGGCTTACCTCTATTGATGAATTTCCAAGGCATCACCTCGAGGAGCATAGGGTACCATGCACCAGAAGTGATTGAAGCAAGAAAAGCTAGCCAAAAATCAGATGTTTACAGCTTTGGAGTACTTCTTTTAGAGATGCTTACCGGGAAAGCCCCTCTAAAGACTAGTCACGGACAATGTGATGTGATTGATCTCCCTCGATGGGTGCAATCAGTGGTGAGAGAAGAATGGACTTCTGAAGTGTTTGATGTAGAGCTGCTTAGGTGTCCAAACGTGGAAGAGGAAATGGTGCAGATGTTGCAGATAGCACTGGCTTGTGTTGCAAGAGTTCCTGATATGAGGCCTAGAATGGAAGATGTTGTTAGGATGATTGAGGAAATTAGACCATCTGAGTCAGAAGAGAGACCATCTTCTGACGAGAACAAGTCTAAGGACTCTAACGCGGGTACTCCAACCCCCTGATTCTTCTCAATGCCTTCGCGTTGGAGCTAAGTTCTCTGACTGGTCATCGGAGAATGATTTGTGATAGCCATATCGTAAAGGTGATAATGCTTATTCCTAATTTATGCATTTTTTTTCTAGGCTTGTGCAACTGTTTGTTGAGCAGATAAGCTTCTAGACTGGAGTAATGTTAAAAGGCACTTGTGTAAAAAAATACGTTTGATTATAAGCAATGCATGAATTGTGCTTTGGCCTTTGGGAACATCTTCTGTCGCTTGTTTTATTTTTAATTTTTTGGACTAGCAATTTTTGTAATCATCGAGTTGATTAAAAATCTGGAACATACCTCCAACTTCTGAGAGTCAAGCTACAAGCCTACAACTAGTGGATGTCTCTTAAGAAGATTGTACCATTTGTACCGCGCCTTACAACTAGAAAAATTACATATGCGCTTGAGCTTATCTTTGAGATCCATGTACTCACTATCGGTAACCCGAAAATAGTAATCGGGATACTCAGATTGAAGTACAATTAGCCCTCCCAACTGCTAGGATGCTAGCCACACCCTCAGCTCTTTGACCAATCCTATTAATCTTATCCATTTTCCTTACTAAAAATGGTGTTGTACGGTTTTTTTTTTCTCTCGACTACTCTTTTCTCTCCTGTAGTACTCTTAGCTAGTAGTGTTAAGTAAGATGATGGTGCAAATTGAATGCAAAATCCTTGGCATATTATACTAACTAGATTATTTCCAAGTCATGCAATTAGATAAGTCAATCATAAAGCATTTTTTAAAATACCACACATCAATAAATCTCATTGATGAAAAAGGCGGTAAAATCTATAATGATATTAAAGTGAGCACGAAAAATATTCAATACACAATGACTATTTGAAAAGATGTTTTTATTTGTTTTGATTGTAAGGTACCACCTCCATTTTATAATGATGTTAATATTTTACTTTCTCACGATTATAAATGTGAAATTTTGAACATTAATAGCTATAATTTTTGTGTATTTGTAAAAATTATGACAAGTTAATATGATTAATATGATATCTCAAACAACTTGCAAAAATGGAGAGTATAAGCAATTTAGTGTAAATATACCTTATATTTACATTTTTTTTTTTACTTTAATTTATACATTATTTACATATTTTACTTTAACAAGATTATATGATTTAGGCCAAATTAGAAAATAACACCCAATAAAAACCCCAATTTTGATAATAACTCCTGTAAAAAAAAAAGTTTTATTATAACACCACCAAAAATCCCAAAATTTTGGTTTCACCACCCACTAAGGGATTTTTGGATGGGAATCGTTAGTGGGGCCCACTAGGGACACGTGTCAATAAGGTATTGGCTTAAAAAAAAGATAAATAAGATAAATAAAAATAAAAGTAAAAGTAAAATAAAAAAAAAAACCCCCTAAACCCTAACCCAGCCACCAGCCTCACCACCGGCGGCCGCCACTCCACCGCCGGAGACCCCCACTGCCGTCGGAACACCTTCCTTCACCAGCGCAACATCACCACCACCGTCGCCCCATTACCACAACAACTGCCAAAGCGCCGAAATCCAAGCCCCATCACCAGCCCCAACCCACTAGGCGGAGAAAACCACGCCCAATTCCACCCGCAACCCTGCCAGATACAGTTGCGACCTCACCTCTTGCTGGCGACGCGAAACCACGAACCTTAAACAAGCGAAAAGGATTGTTGGTGGCAGGTGTGGTTTCGACGGAGATTGGGAAAAAGAGGGGATTTGTAAAACATCGCCCACAAATTTCTACATAAAGCCCACAATTATTTTTACTTTGACTATTTTGCCCTTTTTCTAATTTTTACCGAAAACGTAATTCTCTCTCACGAAAAATGTGGAGCCGGAGTGGATCGCCGAGGGACACCGGAGGGCCGTCATCGTCGCCGGAAAGCGAGGTAATTTGGGGAAAAATTACAAAAAGTAGGGGTGGCGTCTGGGCGGGACGCCACATGGTGGCGGCGTCCCAGCCAGACGCCACTCCTACTTTTCGGTTTTTTTGTTTTTTTTATTTATAATTTTATTTAAAGTTTTTTGTTTTTTTTTGTGGTTTTTTAACTTTAATAAATTAGAAATTAAATATGTGTTAATAAGTTCAAAAAAGAAAAAAAATTTGTTTTAATTTGAAATTATGTTTTAAATATGTGTTAATAAAATTATGTTTAATTTTGTATGTGTAAATTAAATGTGTTAATAATTTCAAAAACAAAATTATGTTTTAATTTTGTATGTGTATGAATACTTTTATACATAATTATGTGTTAATTTTGTGTTAATTATGTGTAAAGTTAGAAATTAAATGTATTATGCGTTAAATATAGAAATGAAATTTACAAATAAAAAATTTAGAAATTACTTATGTGTTAATTTTGTGTTAAATGTATTAATTTAATATTTATATAATTATATGTATTTAAAAATAATATGACATTGTTGCAGGATTATGGTGGAGACGAAAATGATTATAGTGGGATTTTTGTACATGATGGTCCCTTCGAAGATTATCAACAAGCGATTGATTGGGAAAAACAGGTTGCAATTGCAATTAGATCTGGTTTTTGTTTAGTAGTAGCAAGACATAAATCTCTCGAGGACTCTAGACGGCGACATGGTATGATGTATTGAGTTCATAGCGCAAAACCCAGCCGAGAAAACGAAAAGGGATTATCTGAGTAATAAAACAAAACCAAATTAAATGAAATTCTGCAATATTTAAGATTGTCAATCAATTAGATTAAAACCCAAAATAATTGAAACGTAAATCAACTAAAACACTCAATAAACCCCATGCAGCAACATGACATACAGTTAAACCCTAGATTTAAATACAATGGCTTTTTACTACTACACAATAAATAAAAATTCAATAAAACCAAGTATATATGAATGATATTCAAGCACAAAAGCAAGGAAATTGATTAGAAAAATAACGATATTACCATAAATTTGAAGAAATTAACAAGCAGCGGAAGAAATTTAACACGACTTCGACCCGAATTCAGTAAATTTCAGGCGGCTTCAAAATATAACTATGATTGCATAACAATATAAGAATACAGGATTGTGATGAACAATTAGTTTTAAAGTATGAATTTTTCAGATCTGAAAGCTAGAGAAAGAGAAGAGAGAGAGAGTGAGGTTTCTATGGTTAGCAGGGGCGATTTCTGATTTTTTTTATTTTTTTATTTTTTATGTTTTAAAATTTCATACACCGCTTTTTTGAAGTCATGGGGCGATTCCTTGTGATGTAAGCCTACGGCCCCCCAATCATTCCTTTCCAGCGTTTCGACGCTTTTCCATGTCGAGAAACTAGTTCGACTCAAAAAAGCGTTGATAAAAGCGGAAATATATTGTTCCACTAACGCCTCATAGATAGCGTCGAGCCAACAACGTCTAGAAAGTAAGGGATTTGTAGTAGTGATGTGCTATATCGTGACCAGATACGTCAATGGAACAACCTAGCTGCCTTTTAGTTTTTCATGCGTATACCTTTTCTATGTAACCTTGTATTTGTATTGCTATTTTTATTCCAGTTATTTATTTTTTGTATTCTAATTTTGACTAAATTTATATCTTGCATGCATACTAATTAGTATTTACGCGTTACAAACTAAAAAGATAATGTCAAATTTTAAAAACTAAAATGATAATGTCAAATGTTACAAACTTAAACGATAATGTCAGATTTTACAAACTAATATGATAATGTACAAAATGTTCTATAAATAAACTGCCTACAGATCAGTAATCCCTCTTTGACGCCCACTGCCACTGCGCAAGATCCTCGACCGTTTTCTGCTTATCGCAGACACAGTGGACGTAGATGATGTGCTCGATCTACTAACAAATCTACCATCTCTACCCTTACGCACATCTACCCTATGCGTCTCATACATATCATCAAGCCTCTGACTGAATGGACCGTAATCATCATATGGTCTACTTTGATCGTCCACATCCTCGTCTGCGTCCTCCTCCTCTTCCTCCTTATCAACATCATCATCTTCCTCCTCCTCAGGATGGTGAACCCGTTCTCTGCGAGCTGAGGCCGAAATACCACCCGATCTAACGTGTCTGGGCCCCGAGCTCTCCATTGAATAGTTTCTACTTCTAATAACTTCCATACTCTTCCCCGCACCAGGTCGAAAATGCGATACCTAACTCCATTAAAAAAATTAAAATATATTTAAACATAAAAAAATTAAAAAAAAATAGCGAACCAAAAAAAATATCAAATAAACAAAAATAATACTAACAAATTGACATAAAAAAAATTAACAAAACACTGCAAAATAAATAAAAACAAAAAAAATACAAAATAAAAAGAAAAAAATTACCAAAACATGCAAAAAAAAAAAACATAAAAAAAAATTAAAAAAAACAACAAATAAAATACAACGAAATTGGAAAAAAAAAACAACAAAAAACATACAAATAATTGAAAAGTAAATATAAGCATAAAAAAAATACAACAAATTTGAAAAAAAAATATAAAAATAAACAAAAAATATACAATAAAATGAAAAAAAAATATAAACATAAACAAAAAAAAAAACCTGAAATTTTTTTTACAGAAAACTAAAAAAATAAAATAAATATAAACAAAAAAATTTAAAAAATTAAAATATAAACAAAAAAAATAAAAAAAAGGCTGGCGGCGCCCCAGACGCCGGCGGCAGCTGGGCAGGACGCCAGAACCACGGTGGCGGCGCCCTCGCAAGACGCCACCACCGTGGCCCTGGCGTCCTGCCCAGCTGCCGCCGCTGTGGGGCTGGCGTCCTGGCCAGGCGCCCCGCCTTTTCGAGGTTTTTTTTTTTTTATAATTTTTTTTAAAAAAATTACCTTGCCACCGTGACGGCCTTCCTCCGCCTCTGCCGCCGCCAATTCCTTGCGGTAGAAAGATGGGTGATCGGTTGGGTGATGTGAGTGTGTGAGGTTTTTTTTTTATATTAATGGCAAAAGTGTCAATTCAATGAAAATTTGTGGGCTTTATGTGGAGATTTTCTGGCGATATTTAGCAATCCACAAAAAGAGGTGGTGGTGGCGACTTTTCTTTTTCGTCGGTGTAGGGATCGTGGTTTCGACGGTAAAGGATGGGCTGTGGTGGGTGGGGTTGATGACCGGTGATATCGCCGGTGAAGGAAAGGGTTCCGACGGCACTGGGGGTCTCCGGCAGTGGAGTCACGGCCACCGGTGGCTGGGTTAGGGTTTAGTGGTTTTTCTCTTTTTTTTATATTTTTCTTTTTTTAAACCAATAAACAACTGACACGTGTCCCTAGTGGGCACCACTAACGGTTTCCATCCAAAAATCCGTTAGTGGGTGATGAAACCAAATATTTCGGATTTTTGGTGGTGTTATAATAAAACTTTTTTTTAACAGGTGTTATTATCAAAATCGGGGTTTTTATCGGGTGTTATTTTCTAATTTGGCCTATAATTTATACCAATAGTTAAGAATAATATTAATTATGTGAGATTATGTCGTGTTCACCTCAAAAATTTTAAACTTTAATTGCAACAACAATTAAAGATTTGATGATTAAAATAACATAGTAAAAACTAAAAAGATAATTGTTGTATCTCTATTTTTTTTTCACTCTAGGGTTCTTCAAAACAAGTGTTTCACTGGCCGAAAATAGTCAAATTTCTCCAGAAATTTGGCTATTTCCGACCCCTTCCCTTTAGTTTCTTTATGTTTTTGTTATTGAATTCAATAATCTACACTCTTTGAAGGTAGTAAGTACCCCTATAGTGGCTTTGCGTGTAATAAGTGCCCCTATGGCGGGCTTTGTTCTAGTTTTGTTTTTGTTTGTTGAGTTAGTATGGTACAAGTTGTTTCATGGGTAAAAATTTGTATGGGATCGAGAAAGAGGTTAATACTTCGATTACAATCAGATGAATCACACGAAAATTTTCTTCGCGACTACAATAGATCGATAGACTCCCTCGTCGAAAAAGCTTATCACAACGATATGAAAGAGGGTATGAAGAATGTATTATGTGCAGCAAAGATCATAGCTCTGTGAAAGGATGTTTTTATTTGATTCAATTGTCATGTATTTATTAGATTTAATCTCTTTAATCTTTATTCAAAAAATAAAAATGTTGCATTTAAAAAAAAATGTAAATTATTTATTTATTTTTTATTTTTTAATAAAACGCTCTTTAAAAATGTCCGTCTGTCATCTCTCACCAAAAAGGTGACATAAATTAGAAATAAGGTGTCCTGTCTCCCCCCTTAATTTACCATCAATTTCATGAGGGATTTCTAGTAAACACAATTACATTGAAATAATTTTCCCCTACTCAATCAATTCTTTCCAAATGTGTCGGAAATTCTTATGATCTGGATTTTGGTGACAACAATTCCTTTGTGAACAAACCCTTTAAGGTATCCTGTTATTTCATATTTATATTTATATATATATTCTTTTAAGACATATTGTTTATTTAAAATTGTATTTTTGTTTACTAATTGAATGAAATTTTTCATCATAAGTTTCAGACATTCAGTATCTATCATTCATTTGAATTATGATTGTCAATATTTGTCATCAATTTGAAATTGAAATGAATTAATATGGTTAGAAATTTTGGTGGCACTTATTTTATCAAAATGTATGTTGCACAAAAATTGAAGATGTTAAATTTACAAAGACCTAATTTTTGGCTTTAAAATAACTGATTAAATTTTTACTGCCATTATATTATAAGATGGAAAGGAAAGAAGGAATTTTGGGTATAATGAAATATGATTGTCAATATTTTTTCACTTTATAGGTTATTTGATAGAGGCCAAGTTTTCACTTTCAAGGAGCTCTTTAGCTTTAGCTCAAAGATATCATTGGCTCATATAGGAGTTTGATCCTCACATTACCCTCACAAGTGCATTAATGGGTTTTTTTGGGGGTGAATGTGTGCGCGCGCTTATGTATTTTAAGGTGGAGCATTATAGTTAAGTCATAGAGAGACGACATGAGGCCATGCTTACCCAAAAGTATACTTGTATACTCCTTTCGTCTCTTAAAGATTGCCATATAACATCAAATGTACTTTTTTAAGAGCGAGACAATGTTATAGCATTAGGGTATGTGGGAGACAAAATTGGTACCCATTTATGGTATGGATCAAATTCTAAGAGGCATTCAAAAGTGGGTGGGGCCAGTCTTTGAGGTGCATAGGGAGTATTTCTTATATTCAAATTCAAAAAGACTTTTCAAGGAACTCTTTAGCCTTGTGCTAGATAAAAATATCTTAGACATAGTTAGAAGTCTTGAGATATTCATTTATTTGGAGATCCTTGTGCAGATGGAAAGCTTAAGTCATAGAACCATTTCATTTGTTTGAGAGATTTATCCTTTAATCTTGGCTTCCATTGCGATCACCTCCAATTTTTTTGCGTTGTGGAAAATTTGGGGGTCAAACAATAGCATATTAGCATTAGAACCTAAAGTTATTGTTTATGTGTGTTGAAATGTTGCGTGATGAACAAAAATGCAATTTCTTAGAACAGAGATGCAGCCGTAAAAAGTCTAATAGGGCTTATGTATTGAATAGTAGGTGTTAGTGTGTTACTGAGGAGATGATCTGTTATTCAGGAGTTAGCTTAGGATGGCTCTATGGTGCTGCATTGTGTGTTAAAATAAGTATATGATGTTTATTATTGCACTGACTAATATAAAGACTGGCTCTTGGGCACATTAGGTAAAATATATTTCTCTCCCACCAACTTATTCTACTAGCATGTACACCTCCTTTGAACTCCGAAAGGAAAGCGTTCACCTCTATTTCCCTTTGAATGGAGTTTTGTTACTAGCTGTATAATTAAGGAATGCCTTGACGAGTCTTATTGAGACTATTAAATTTTGTAGCAAACTAGAGCGTATCCGTGCTAAAGCACGGAATATATCAATCGTATATATCAATTATTTTTTCTTACTATGATATTATTAATTGATTTTTGCGAATATGATAGGGGAGGTTATTGAATCTGTTTAATGGAAGTTATAGAATTGGAAGTTATAATGGAAATTGATAGGTTTTTTTTATTTTTTTTTTTTTTATTTTTATTTATTATAAATAAATGTAGAGTTAACATAAATTGAGGATACAAAGTTTGGAGTGTTGTGGTTAAAAGACTCTACAATTATATAATAGATTAGACTATCTTCCTTGCTCAACAATGGGTTATTATATATTATATAGATTCCTGCAAAAGACAATGAAGCTTTAAGAGGCGAGGCTCATGGAGAGTGCCTTGAGGTTACTTTAGTAATGGATATTATGAACATTTGTGCGTGTGTGTGTTTGTGTGTATGCGCACGCGCATATGTGTGTGTATGTGTGAGCGCATATGTGCATGCATCTTGATATTATGCTGCTTGATACTGCATCTGAATATTGAACTCTCTACTGAATATTTGGTGATTTGGTCTCATATAAACTTCTTGTCTCCATAGTTAAGGCCACATTTTTTCTCTTGTTCAGAGTTTGACTTGGCCTCCATCCTTTTCTTACAGGGGATTGCTGTAATTGTAAGAAGGCTGGCTTCCCATGCTTAATGGGACAGTGCTGGTCCTGCTGTAGCAGGGTAAATTTCTTATCTTGGATTCTTCATTGTATTGCTGTTTAGTCTTCGCCAGCATAATAATTGTGATTACTAACTACATTCTTGCCTTCAAATTTTTTTTGTGATATCTATTCTGTAATCATGTGTTCTTATAGTAAAATAACTCGTAGTATAATGTAATTTATTGTTGTAGTTTTTTTGCATGAATGGTTTTTATTTATTTATTTATTTATTTTTTTTTTTTTAATATGCTAAGTAGTGACTCTAGCTATTATCGATTCACATACGAAAAGGATTGCAAATATGCTAAGTAGTGACTCTAGCTATTATCGATTCACATACGAAAAGGATTGCAAAGGTTCTTTTTTTTATTCTCCTTTATTTGCCTTCCTTAGAACATATGCTAAAGAGAAATGAGACTTGTAATTATTATCTTTAGCTGATTTTATCAAGCCTTGTAGGTTTATAAAAGATAAATGCAAGTTCCTGAGTCAATTTTTCTCGTATAACTTGCCCTCCGTGCATTGTGAAAACGAGCTTTGAACATACTTCGTATATTAAGTAGTTCATTGTGAAAGTTCCTGAAATTGTATCATGGCTTTGTTTCTGCTTTGCAGTTTTTATTCTTTTGATTATGCATCAAGTCATTAACTATGGATTATAAATGTATACCTTTTCATGAAAAATACTTAAATTTGATAGTTATGCAATTGCAAAGGACATCACAAACTACGCCAAACTGGTGGAAAGGTTCAACATATAACCAAAGAAGAGAGTTGGGAAGTAAAAATAGCAGAGGCTAGGCGAAATGGTAAAATTGTAAGTTACTTTTCATCCTTCTTTTAGTTTTTAAATCATCCTTGGAAAGCAATATGACAATTTCCTCACTAGACTTACTACTAGTTATCTTCTACAAATTTGGCGTTGTTGGATAACCTTTTCCAATTCGCATTCAAACATTTTGTAGCAGTCTCTTCCATGAGCTCTTTACATTACTCTTAGCTACACTACTATTGGCTTTACTCAATGTGCTCTGACTGCTCTATTTACCTTTGTGGAACCTCTGTCACTTCTATGTCTGTAATGTCATTATGCTCTAGTTTCTCAAGCTATAGTACTATACTCTCACACCACAGAATATCGAGAGCCCATATATGGTTCAATACTACAGGCGTAATATAAGTAATGACACCTTCATCATGGCTTAAATCAACAAATTCCATCTAATTAATAGCATGACTACAAATCTAATTTACAAGTCTTGGCACTAAAACTACTTGTTGGTTCTATAATAGGTTTACTGGCCTGCTGTAGATTAGATTGGGAGATTGATAGCATGCAAGTCTAATATTAGTTCTATCCTAATCAACAGAAATAGCCTACTAGTCATATTTCATCAAGCTAAGACTGTTATTTTTTACTTTATCATTTTTATTTATCACGACAAATATTTTGCATGCATAAATGGGGAAATTACACCGTTTGCTATCATCCTATTGCTAGGATTTATGATGGATTGTTATATATTTTAAGTCTTTTAACCTTAGTGATAGGGAATTAGAAGGCCGGATGAGAACCTATAAGAGCATGCTCTTGGGTCCAATGCCTGTCATACAACTATACAAGTGAGGGGTGCATGGTTGGGTCTAAGGGAATCCCGTTAGCTATGTCGTAATTTAGCACTCTAGCTAGCCAGTTGAGTTAAAAATTAAAGAAGCTGGGTGACATATAGTCATGTTTACCATACATCATATGAGCATTAGCATCTTACTAGAGAGAACTCTTCTGAACTTTTCTTTGTATTGAGTTCCTAAAAAGTGTGGTATATGTATGTTAATCACTATTATTGCCATCAATGTGAGAAGTTGGATAACATAAGATGAATGCAACTCTAGCCTAACCTTTAATAGTGTAAATTTGTGGCTAAGTTGTTTCTCTTCCTCACTTAACTAGTAAAGATTTCATATCTAGATCCACCCTTAATTTCCTTTTTCTACAGGTTGTGGTTAAATTTTCTGCAACTTGGTGCAAGAACTGTAAAGAGATAGCAGCAACCTATCGCGATCTTGCTGACAAGTATCCTTCTTTAGTTTTTCTCTCTGTAGATGTTGATGAGATGACAGTAAGTATGCCTTTAATCTTATTTTCTCGAATTTTAAAGATATACTACGTACTATAAAAATTAACCCCCTTCTTGTCATCATACAATTATATGGTTACTACTGTTATTTTCTTGCATAGGATTGAATTGGTTTGTTCAGTAAGGATTGCTACTGTTTTTTCATGCAGGAATTTTGTACATCATTTGATATTAAAGCCACCCCAACCTTCTATTTCCTTAGATCTGGTCAGCCAATGGATAAACTAGTAGGAGCCAACAAAGTTGAACTTCGAAGGAAGCTTGCTACCATTGCTGAATTATCGGCAAGGATGTGAATTTCAGACTCCCTTCAGAAGTTTTCCTGTAAACGATGACTTGTAATTGCATAAGTTATGATGTGGCTTGCTTTCTTGTGCTATAGAAGGCTTTCCTATAATGGTGGGAATGTGGCTTGCTTTCTTGACTCTTGTTGCTATAGAAGTCGTTCCCGTAATTTTGAAAGCTCTTGTACATGCTTGCTCTATCAATTAGGAGAGAAGTGAAGCTTGACGGACTAAACAGAAGTTGATATTTCTATATGTATGCTTTGTCAATAATAATATGAATGTAATAGGTGTTGATCTTTAGAGCATTCAAAATGGTGAATGATAGAACTTTGTAAACTAGACAAAATTAATTATTTGTTTTGTAGTAGTTTGAACAAATCAATGGTAAATTTTATTTGTATACATATATAAGAAAAAGGCTAAGCAATAATTTTGACCGTGTTTGGTAAATGGCCTTTGACTTTTAAATGACTTTTTGGTTAACTTTTGGCTTTTTTATGTGGTCTAGTAGCCAAAAAATATATTTGGTTAATGACTTTTTGGTTGATTGAAAAACTGACTTTAAAAGAGATTTGAGAGATAAGGAAAGCAAGGAAAAGAGCTAGAGAATTCAATTGGTGAAGGAAATTCAACATTTTGAAAATTTAGGCATGAAAAAAAAAACCTCAAACCTCGAATATCTCACGCATTTCCAAAATCACAAGGGTATGTTGAAAATTTTGTCATATATGAAGGGTCTCGTAGAAAGTTTTCCTTAATAATTAGATAGCTCATTGTTTATAATTAATAATTAAATAATTTGTTGTTTATAATTAATATTCTTAAAGGTAATTGTATATTCTTACTACCAATCATTAATTTTAACCAAATGTATTTTTAAATAGCTAGTAGCCAAACAACCAGCACATATAGCAAATGCAAACAGTTAGTTAATTCAGCTAAGTTATACAACCAACAACCAATTGCCAAACAAGACCTTTATTAAATCAACTCAATTTCCGCCAATTAAAATAAGTTTTATAGTATTTTCATTTCTTTATTTTCTTAGGGATTTTTTCTTTATGTATATTGTTGGATCCTCTCCTATATATCATGTAAGTCCAAAAAGCAACAAGTGGTTATTGGTCAACAAAATAACAAGTGAAAGTGTGAAGTTAAATTGATCTATTACCGATATCTAAAAAGTATTATAGCTTTATTTGTTGGGAGTAAAATATGGAGTAGTATGATCTAAACTAAATTGAGCTAAATGAAACTAAACTTAATGAAATTTAGAAAATTACATACTTCATGTCTCCCTAATTATGTTGGTTCTAGTTGAACTAAACCGAAAAAAAAAAATTCTAAAAGACAGGGCCTAAGTCCATGATGATCTAAACCTAAACCTAAACCTAAAGCCCATTACAAACATTAGTGTTCTTCCTTAAATTCCCAAAATCCCATTTAAACCCTACAACTTCATCTTTCGAACCAATTTTTCCTATTTCATCAACAGTTATATACAGAAGAGAAAAGGAAAGCAAGAAGTTAGAAATTGAAGTAAATCTATTTGTCGAAAATTTGTAAGTCTTAGTTGTGTTGTTTGATATTCAATGTTTTATCCTATTGCTATTGTTATTTCGAATAAATAATATTTTGCAATGAAATTTTTTCAAATAAAAATATAAAATAAAATTGTGATGAAATTTGTGTCGATATCAAATAAATTGACCATTTAATTTATTTTCAGGCATTCGATTGTATTAATTAATTTACCTTTTTCTTATTTTGCAGCTATAATGGCGTCAGAAGACACTAACATTGATATTCCTGAGGTTTGTGTTGTTCTTCTTAGTTAACCCTTAATTTTGATTTTTTTTTAAAATTTTTCATTTTGTAAGATTAAAGTTTCATTTTTTTTTCTTCTTCTTGTTTTAGTAGTATTGCTTTATTGATTATTAATATTTCAGCTTGTAAACAACCTAAATATTGGTTTGTTTTGGTAAAAATTACTGACATTATTTAAACAAGTTTGTATTTTTTTCCTGCAATTTGTTCAAGTTCTGGGTGTGCGGAGTAATGTCATTATGATTATCAAAGTTCCCATATCGTAAAAAGTTGTATAAACGGGTGTATTGTGCAGTAAATTAATTTTTATGTGATTTAAAGTGACTAAGCTGTTTATATACTCTATGATACACTCTTTGACATACTCCTTTTATATGGATATGGAAGTATCCATTGTGCGATAAGTCAACTTTATGTGGTTTGAAGTGACTAAACTTGTTGATACGCTCTTTGACATACTCTTTTTTATATGGATACTAAGTATCTATAATAAAGATTGTGTTATTACCGTTGAGCGAAAGGAAAAAATAATTATTATATTGTGTGAGAACCCTAATTTGATTTGAGATGACTCACATGGAATTGGTTTTCATATATGCTACTTAGTGTTTATAGCTAGGCTAGGGACTTTGTTCCGCGGTAGTTCAGTTAAGTAGTTGTATTTTTCTATTGTTCTTTGTGTGGTGTAAGTTCTTTTTTATATTTTTCAGTTAGCTCCATTTGATCCAACAAAGAAGAAAAAAAAGAAGAAAGTTACTGATGAAAATGTGGAACCCTTGGCTGATACAATGGAGAGCATTGACAGGTATAGCCTGGATTACATTTGATACTTCATATTGTCCCCATGTATATTTCCTTGGATTTCCAATTTGGGATTGCTGAAAATTGTGTATATATTTTTTTTCATAAAACATAAAATAAATTGACATACGATGTAAGAAAATGAGCATGATTAGTGTTAAATAACAGTTTTCGGCATGTTAAATGATGCAAGTCCAGCAATACTGACTTTCACATCGTGCAGTTTCTGATGGACCTGATACATCATTTGCTGGTTTAAAGAAGAAAAAAAAGAAGCCTGTAAGTTGCTCTCTAGGTTCTTGTTGTCATTCATGATCCCTCGTATTATTTTGTGCTGCAAATGTTTATTAACTTGTTATTTTCAGGTTGACCCAAATATGTTTGATGATGTTGGTGAAGGAGGAGAAGTGATTGATGGTAAGTAAAGTGGCAAGTGATTGAGAATGTATTTTTCCTGTTGTTCTCAACTTGCCTTTAGCTAATGTGTATACATTTGTTCAGATTCTTATTGATTGTTGTTCTACAATTTAGGAGACATTGGAGAAGATGGACATGGTGATGAAAGTGATGAGGTGCAACTACCTCAATTCCTTGGGAGGGGGCTGACAGAAATTATGTTTACGAGGAAGTAAGTTTCATCACATACTATTACTGAGTTTCAAAATTATTAATATGCCACTGCTAATCCATACTAGTCTATCTGATAACCTAGGTTGCATACTCTCTTGTAGTCTAGCACCTTTAGCTGCAAAGAGGTTGCTTAGTGAAACTCTTGGTCGTTGGTCCAAAAGGTTACTAACAAGTCCATAATAATGAAAGATAATTTTACATTTGGTTAAGGCTCTGTTCTCCTCACCTTATATTTAATTTATTTCAAGTCTTAAGTTTAGATAAGTTCTTGTAATATAAGTTTAGGGTTAATATGTTTGATTAGATAACTTTAGTATTATTAAGTACAAATTATATAAGTTTAGGGATATTATTTTAGAAGAGTTTGAGTAAGCCAAGTTTAGGGCTTAATAAGTTAGGTTTCCATTCTTCTCACCTTCTTTTCACTTATTTAGATCTAATAAGTTTGAAATAATACTAGTTTTGGGTCGGTAAGTTTAGGGGTGATATCTTCAAATAAGATAAGTGAGATATTCTAGTGAAGAGTACCACCTTAATTTGTTGTAGTCCAAAATTAAAAAGTCCTTATATTATGTAGAGGCTCTTTTCAGATTTGTTGACAATGGATAATGACTAGTATCTTATTTCATATTTGTTGCTGTGTTAAATCAATTTCATTTTATATCAGTTGTCTATTAATTTTAACCCACCCACCCCCCCCCCCCCCACCCAAATTTTAATTACTATTTTCGGCCCTTAATATCATTTACTTTTGCTCTCATATTGCAGCTTCTGGGAAGGGTATTCAATATTCTCCGTGAAAATAATCCTGAATTAGCTGGAGACAGGCGCAGGACAGTGATGAGGCCCCCACAAGTCATGTGGGAAGGAACCAAAAAGACTGTTTTTGCAAATTTTACGGATCTTTGTAAGATGTGAGTTTCTTGGATTTTTGTCTGCAATAGCTTTCCTTTTTTTTTTTTGCTCTTAACATATTATATGCCTTCCAGTGACTCGACTGTTTTTACGAATTTTACGGATCTTTGTAAGATGCGAGTTTCTTGGATTTTTCTGTCTGCAATAGCTTTCCTTTTTTTTTGCTCTTAACATATAATATGCCTTCCAGTGACTCATTGTAAATTGTCAAATCATTATCAATCTTCTAAGAATACCAAGAATGTGGAATCTACATTACACTTGCTGCTTTTTTGGGCATAATTAACTTTTCTTTAATAAGTAGTCCCTTAGAATATTTTTGGTATCTATAATTATGATTTTTGTTCAGGTTGGTTGATGAATGTTGTGCACTTGTGCTAGCTAATAGCTTATTCTTTGTTCTTTGTTATTGTCTTCCTTCACTCTGCTGAACCAGTGATATTCTGTTAGTGCCTTTATAAATTAATAATTTACTCTAGTCATCTTTTCTTTTGTGATCGTGCTATCTGTCGCATGTGTCTTGCCTTAATGTATTTTTTTGATTCCATGGAGTTTCATGTTCTAACTACAACCCCTTTCCAGGATGCATAGGCAACCAGATCATGTGATGAGTTTTTTACTATTGGAGTTGGGAACAAGTGGTTCTTTGGATGGACAACAGCGTTTGGTGGTTAAGGGAAGATTTGCCCCAAAGAATTTTGAAGGGATATTAAGAACATATGCGAGTAAGTATTGGTTATTTACTTCTTTTAAACACTATACATATATTTGGCTGAAAGGGTATACAATTACGTTAATTTTGGTAGTGGTTTCTCTGTATAAGAATATTATTTTGTACATAAAGTATCTTCAAATCTTCCACAGGATATTTTCCAAAAAAGTATCTTCAAATTGTCAGCAGAAATTTTTTCTAATTCTGAAGAAACATTTCCTTAGAAAGATTACAGTGAAAAGGCATTTCACATTGCTGCATTATAAGCCATATATATTGTCACACTGTATAGAGGCTTCTATCTGTGTTTTGGCTTTACTATTGCAATTCCCTAGTGTTTATTGTTTTTTTTTTAAATTTTTTTTTTGTTCCCTGTAGATGAATATGTTATTTGTAGTGGGTGCAAGAGTTCGGATACCATTCTTTTTAAGGAAAACCGTCTATTCTTCCTCAGATGTGAACAGGTAAAATTTTGTTAATTAATGCTTTTATTTCTTCGTTCTGTTATAATGGTTTGTTCTTTCATAGTTACTTTTTATACTACCTCCGTTAAATGTTATGTGCAATTAGAAGGGGGTTTACGGCTACCAATGCAATTTTTAAGGGGCAAAGATTAGAGAAAGTTGAAGTAACTTGTGGTATGTAATTAAGGTGGGGAGAGAATGTTTGGATAATTAATCAACCACCCACTGCCACCACCAAGACCAGCCAACACCACCCACACCGCCTTCACGACCACCACTGCCGCCTTCACCGCCACCACTATGACCCCCACGAAACCACCACCACTATGACACCCACGAAACCACCACCACCACCCCCCCACGAAATCACCACCACCACCACCCCCACGAAATCACCACCACCCCCACGAAACCACCACCACTACCAACCCCACGAAACCACCACCACCCCCACGAAACCACCACCACTACCAACCCCACGAAACCACCACCACCCCCACGAAACCACCACCACTACCAACCCCACGAAACCACCACCACTACCAAACCCAGAAATCCCAAATCATACCCGGAAATTGTCACCCAACACCCAGAAATTGTCACCCAAATCACCTAAAACCCACGCCCTAGAACCCTAACCCAGAAATCGTCACCATCATCACCTTCAGTATAACCCAAAACCCACGCCCTCAAACCCTAACCCAGAAATCCGACCATCATCATCACCTTCCATATAAATCAAAGCCCAAAAAATCAAAACTCCGAAAATCGAAATCAAAACCTTGAAAATCAAAACCCAGATAATCGAAATCAAAACCTTGAAAATCAAAACCCAGAAAATTGAAATCAAAATCTAGAAAATCAAAACTCAGGAAATCGACGAAGAGGAGAGAGGAAGACGAAATCAAAACTCTAAAAATCATAACCCATTTTCTATACTCGTTTTGTCAAAGATCTGTTGTTTAAAGTCTGGAGAGTGAAGGACGAAGAGGAGAGAGGAAGACGAAGAGGATGAACATGTAGGTTCATCTGGAGGTTTGTCACTATTAATGGATGGAATATCACAAATTGGAGAAAATGAAGGACGAAGAGGAGAGAGGAAGACGAAGACGAAGAGGATGATGAATCGGAGAAAATGAAGGACGAAGAGGAGAGGGAAGACGAAGAGGATGATGAACGAGGATGATGAAGAGGAAGACGAAGAGGACGAACATGAAGGTTCATCTGGAAGGAATACCAGCCATCACATTAATTGTTGGTGGTTGGGATTGGGAGTAAATAGAGAGATTAATTAAATTAGGGAAATCTGATTAGTTTTAGGTTAATGTGGTTAAATTAAGTTAAGGGCAAAATTAAGAAAATTAGAATTTTTTAAGTAAGGGTAAATATTTAATTTCCAGAGTTTTTGTTTACTAAAAATAGAAAGAAAACAGAGAGTTGCACATATCCCTGATCATCCCGTTTTGGCAAAAGTTGCACATAACATTTAACGGAGGTAGTATTAGTATTTATTTAGTTCCTGCTTTCTAGTTTTCCACTCTACTTGTTATGGAGTATGGTTTTATGTCTAAGTCAATATCTGACTAGTCTTCACTACTCAGATTCTTTGATTCAACACACTTGTGTAAATCCTGTGACATTTAAGCAATTCTACTCAGCTGCAATTATGTCAAGTTTTCTACATACTCTGTAATATTCTTTCTTTTACCTAGTGTACTTTTGCAGTCTAGGAAGCCTTAGACAACAAAAAATTCCTCTTTGTTTATAATAATTAAATGATTAGATGCCAGTGATTATCTGGTTAAATGGTTACCTAAACCGTATGAACATATCATAATAAATCGACTTTGTTCTATGCCTTATTTTCTATGCTGCACTAATCAATATTTAATATGAAAGCTGTGTTTTTTAGGCCCTTTGGATTTATTAGTATACTGTTAGAAGCATTTTATTGGACTGTTGGTTAAAATGAAACTCAGTTTGATGATCTGTCCAAGAGAAGGGGCCTGTGATGATCTTTCAAAATTTGCCTACATTGTCTGATATAACAATGATAAAGCTACATTTGTGTCTGAGGCCTTAATTTGTCGTGTTTAATGGTTTGCCACTTTGCCTTCTTTGTATCTGCTATCTCTTCTACATGTTACACCTTTCTCTGTAGAACATAACTAGGAACACATTTATCTCTTTTGAATGTAGATGATTTTTTTAGTTTTCAAAATTAAAATGCTAATAAAATGTGGCTACCACATTTGAATATTTATCTAGTACTATCATGAGCCTCAATTCTCATGGTGGCCAAACTTTATGGGGTAGATGAAGTATTATCAAGGCCTGTGATGATCTTTACAATAATTGCCTACATTGTATGATTTTACCGTGATAAAGAAATATCTTGGTCGGAGGCCTTGCTATGCATGTATCTTGATGTGAACATGTCTTATCAGATATGAAAATCATTTTAGTAAGAGAATAACTTTGACTAAGTCCTTCGCTTGTTTTGTATAATTATGTTAAAGGAATATGTCGGGGTGCGACTGGTGTTAAGAGAGGCCTTTCTGAACAATTTCTCTCGTTTTCTATTCTTTCCACCCCATCTGCTTTTAAAAACAATAAACAAAAGAATGGGAAAAAGAATTGAAGATTGTGCATGCAATGAATGTCTTTATATAGGTTAGTATACTGTTAAAAGTATTGGGTGGTTACAACTCTTACGAGTGAAAGTTTGATGTTATGTCTAAGAAAGGGGCCTGTGAAGATCTTTCAAAATTTTTGCCTACATTGTCTGATGATACAATGATAAACTATTTTTGTGTCTGAGGCCCTAATCTATCTCTTATCTTGGCTCACCTTCATTCGAGCTCATATTATTATTATTATTATTATTATTATTATGTATTTTGATGAAGACAAATGTCCTCTTAACTTTATTAATGCTGATTGGTGTTTCCAATTTCTCTCTTCGGTTTACAACTTCAATGAGTTTTTAAAAAACTCATGTTCATCAAATTCTTCTTTTTGATGCCCAAGTTCTAGTTAAATGTGTGTTTTATGACTATATCTGAAATATATGGCTACTTGTAATTTTTTTTTTTGAATAAAAAAACTCTAATGGCTTTAACTTAAATGTTATGTCACATTGTAAATGAGGCCTGTGATGATCTTTCCAAATATGTCTACATTGTTTGATTTCACAGTGATAAGAAATATAAAGTCTGAGGCCTTGGTGTTGTTTGATTTCACAGTGCTGTGTAATATTTGTTGAGAGGGACTGTGATGACCTTACAAATAATTTGCTTCCATTGAGTTGGACAGAAGCCGTGGCTGTTGCTTGAAGTGTCTTTTTTTATGTGTTTATTTTCTTTTTAACTACCCCAATCCCAAGTAATGTTTCCTAATTTAATAAGAAAAAAAAAAGAATCGATAGAATAAGTTTTAGTTAAATGTTTTGGCACCCACTTGACTCCATCCAAATATATGAAGTATATGCTTACATTTTATTTAGTTATTTAATTTTGGTTAACTGGCTACTTTGAAATTTGTAACTTCAATGTTATGTCACATTGTTAATGAGGCCTGTGATGATCTTTTCAAATATGTCTACATTGTTTGACTTAACAGTGATGAGAAAATATAAAAGTCTGAGGCCTTCTTGTTATATACTTTGTTCTTTTTTACTTGACATAGTTTGACTTTGGTGCTATTCACGTCATCTCTTTTGACCATCTTTTGTGATTTTTATGTAAGAAAAAACAAATAGTCGTGCATTGGCAAACGTGATAAATGAAATAGGTCACGTAAAAAGAACAAAGTATAGTGTTGGGTTGCTAGCGTATCTGTGTATGTAAGCCTGTTATCTGTCAGAAAAACACACAAGCCTGCATTTGGATCAGTGTTTATCCAATACACACACTGGGTCATGAATTCATGTTTTGAAATGTTTTATAGGTTAGTCAGCTCATACTTTAGATGTGGTGATGTTAAAGATGTGTAGTTGTGAATGCAAAGGTTTCTGATAAATTTTGCTATGGTTTCAAGTATAACTTCTGAAGTGCATGATCGTATCTCTATTCACTTGTCTGCATTTTTTAATTTCCGAGTTAAATTTATTTGTATATTTGGGATATAATATGAGGCACATTGGATAGGGATCAATTTTGGGTTTTGTTTGGTTAATTCTTGGCAAAATATCAATCTTTAGTTTTGTATGTAAGTGATTGCATGACATATTTTACTTTTGATGCAGTGTGGCTCTGCACAGTCTGTAGCTCCTGTTACGCTTGGGTTTGTTGATCTTGTTGGTCGCCGTAGTGCTTAGTGGTGGAGGATGTTATTATTCTTCGTATAGTTATAGAGTGCTCATGTTGGTCTTCTGGGTTTCTCTTCATGTAAGTTATTGGCAATCGTAGTGTGGTGGTGGTGGTTTGTTGGTCAGTACGACTTAATAGATAGATTACTCACAAAATTAGAATATCCTGTTGACTACAAGATAAGTGGATTAGTCTTTGATTTGATACCATGTATGTACATTTGAAATCACAGGTATTCAGTATAAAATTAGCTTTTTTCATTTTGCGTAGTTTTGTTTTATTGTCTCAATTCAGGGTGCCCTGATATTTTGCTCACCTCTAATTTCAACCAAATTGTTATTTTGCTGGTTACAAAAAGTGGTGGTACTGAATTAAAAATCGCTGCATTTGACAGCAATTGACCCAACTGCCCTTTCATCGATTCAAAGCATACTTTTCCCTCCCACCTTGAGCTCACATAGTTACACAGCAAAACTACTGATCTGATTACGAAAAGCGTAAATGTGATGATTTGTTTTAAACCAGACATAAGTTCTAGTATTTGTGCAACAAAACTTGAAAGGATTTTGCTAATAGCTTTATTTATATCCAAACTTTTGGTCACAAATGTTTAATTCAACATTTATTAACACTTCCCAATTCTCTCTAGGAGAGGTTCATTAAGTGATCTCAAAGAAATTCACCAAACTCTTTGAAGAGATTTTCACTCTCCTCCCTTGATCTTGGACTGGTAGCCGGCGAATCGACCAAAGACATTTTGGTCCATTCCTCTGCAATATTAAGAACACAATCTTTCTCACCAACAACTGGTTTAAAGCTTGGTTGAATTTGTTTCTTTTCTAACTTCTTCCAATTGATGCACTTGAACCATTTATGGCTTCTTATCTCATCTTCCCCTTGAGGCCCGCTTCCTAGCCGCTTGCTCGGGTCTTTCGTTAGCAGCTACATACCACAAAAGGAAAAACAAACATAGAAATTGAAATGAGAACTTTTTAAGTGCATATTAAGCTAAAGTTTCTACTAAAGTTATTACAAAATCTTACTCCTTTTATTAGAGAATGTGCTTCACTTGATAAAAAAGTAGGTAACTTGATCTTGTCTTTGATTATTTTCTGCTGTAATCTGAAACTGCTTCCACCACTGAAAGGTAGCTGTTACAGCGGAAATACACGAAACAATTTAGCTTGGGGCTTCAGTGAACTGAAAAGGAAACAGAATTACACACAATTAAGTGAAAAAGGATGGAAAATATGGTGAACCTTGCCAATGAGCATCTCATATAAGAGAATCCCAACGCTCCACCAATCCGCAGCCTTATTATGGCCTTTGCCAAGTATAATTTCAGGAGCCATGTACTCTGTTGTTCCGCACAAAGAGTTTGATCTTGTTGTGTCGTCGAATTGTTTTGCTAGACCAAAGTCCGTCAACATTATCTGATCATGGATGGGAATGAAAGAAATTAGCGCCTACACTTTCTTGTTTGAATGGAGATGTAAAGGAATTAGTTTAAGAAAAGGACATACATGGCCATCTGCGCCTAATAGAATGTTCTCTGGCTTAAGATCCCGATGCATGATGCCATTATCATGTAAGTAAGCAACTGCAGAAACTATCTCAGCTGCGTAAACTCGAGCCAAATCTTCCCTGGAATACAAACGTATAAACACATGAAGCTAACAAGCATTACATATTTTCCGAACTCTCTGTACAAGCATTAACCTTCCCTAAAGTTTCTGCATATACTCCGAAAAATCTTGTCACATTTCTTGACAAAGTACTGATTAATGACTGTGTTTACTAACATGTCCCGACTGAAATTAAAGTGACAAGGAGACAATAGAAATAACTAAAACTAATTAATGGTAGCGTTGTAAAATCATCTAATTTCATATCATTAAATAAGGTTGGGAAATATATATTTCATTTTCTTATCGTGGACAAAAGATATTTGTATATAATCATGTTTGTATAAGACCACTATACAAAGTATTGTATATTCCTAAAGACTAAGCACTAGTCAAAGTGACAAACTGCATTATTTCATACACTAGAGGAAATTTTGCACTCTGAGTCGCATGATATTACCTGAATAAACCATGTTGAAGGAGCTGAAAGAACAGCTGACCGCCATTGACAAAATCTAGCACAAAATACAGCCTATATTTTGTCTGCATAACATAATGAAAATAAATCAGTTGTTAAAGCTATGTAATGTTGTGATTAACAAGTCGCGTTAAACAGTGAAAAGAGTCCTAATCCCAAACCTGAAATGTGTAGTTTAGCTTAACAATAAAAGGATGATCAATTTTCATTAGTATCTCCCTCTCGGATTTGATGTATTCGACATGGTTCTTTTGGATTATCTTGTCCTTTGCAATCACCTTCGTTGCGTAAATCTCATCAGATGATCTCTTCCTAACTTGATAAACTTTCCCAAAAGAGCCCTTGCCCACAACTCTAAGCACTTCAAAATCCTTAACCCCAACAACACATGATGACTTTTTGTTAAGATCCAAAGACGAAATTTCATATATTCCATTTTCTATTTGAGGGTAATTCGAGTCCTTGGAATCGCAAAAATAAGGATCAATTGAGGGTCGTTGCACTGATATTGGACCAAAAACATCAGCAAAGTTATGAATCCCAACACAATCTGATGCTAAAACAACCATTTTTTTGGGTTAAAAATTGTGAAACAAGGGCTTTGATGGGTTGTTTACAGTCTTGTTTCGAGTTCGAGTTAAATGAAGTTAAGGAATGGAATCAGAGTGCCTAGGAAACTTGGAAGTGAACAAACCAAAACCCACAAAAAGCAACTGTTCTTGTTTCCCTGCTTGTGGGAAACAATTGATCTTGAACCACTTCTTGAATTCATCAACTTTACTATGTATATTTGATCAAATCTGCAATTATTGAAAACAATTATATATAATGATTAGAACAATTTTATCACATAAAAGAACAAAAAAAATAATAAAACCCCTTTCAAACAGAATTCATAATTGAAAGAAATACAAGTATAAAAATCAACCGCCCAACAATTAATTCCAAATTTACAAAGATCAAACCTTTAAAATTTTCAAAAATATTATTTTATAAAAAAATAAAAAAATAAAAAAATACCACTAAATTAAAACGAAGTGAATCCCGGAAACATCAATCAAGAATTTAAAATTGTGAATATACCCGCCCAATTAATAATTTATAAGGAAATTAAAGACTGTTTTATAAAAAATTAATCAATGGAACTTTAATTGGTAGCAGACATAAGAATTCAAGTAATAGTTGAAAAAACTTTAAGCAAAAAATAGTTGATCAAAGAGATAAAAAATACACACGCAACTATAAAAAAGGAAAATTCAAGTTGAAGATGATCAATCATATGAAAACACGCGATTAATCCAATAATAATTCGAAATTATGATTCGGGTTGTTTGCCTGGTTTTCTTTCCTTAACTAAAATTCGCCGTAATCAGGCGAATACAATAAATTCGAAAAGTAATTTAAAAAAAAAAAATTCAGAGAGAAGAAAAAAAAATCGTACCTTTGGTAATGGCGCGGCGAAGGGGGGATGTTTGGAATTGGAATGAGAGTAAATAAACAGAGAGGATGCGTAAGCGTTACGCTGCTTAAGAAAAAGGGCACGTAACTGAATTAACGGAATTCATTGCCCACGTGTTGAGTTATGATTGGTTGTTTTATTTTTTATTGGAAGGTGGGTTGTTACAAGGGATTATATAGAATCTTTTTGTTTGTTTAAAAAGTAAAAATAAAATATAGGTTTTTATTTTATTTTTTCTTTAATTTTGGGGATTGGGGAGTGGATTTGTTGGGGGGAGATGATAAGATTTGATGAAATCATTAGCTGTCTTAGTTTTGAGAAATGAAAGTAGCAAGTGTTTTCACGCAGGTTGCCTACTCATCTTCCTGGCAAACCCTTAAATACAATGGAACAATACAAGTATACAACTAGAACTCTATATAAACTTCTTATATGTTGCTTCAGGTGTAAATACACCAATAATTCAGATGACTTCGTTGTGATCGTGTTTGAATTAAACAGCTACGCAATTAGCATGTAAGCTAGCCTCGGGAGTGGATCCAGGAAACCCTCTAATGCTAGTTAGCGTTTGAACAAGGTAGTGAACCAGTGACACTGGTTCAGTCTTAGTGCAAGTGCTAGAAAGGGTCAAGTGAACTAAATACCTTGGGATCTCCAAGTGACGACTAAGCTATTTATAAGCATCTACAAGTATTAGATTAAGCAACTGGGCTTTATTTTCTTTCGGCCTTGGAAGAGAAATAAGATGCTATTGTCATCCTAGATTGGGCTTTAGGCCCGAATTAGTGTCATTTTGGTGCCCAAAGATGTAATAAAATACTTAAGTGCTTTCAAAAAATTTTGTTATGTTCTTTTGAAATGTAACAACTAACAAGTGTGATATATATATGTATATATATTTTACAACGATGTGTGACAACTACAAAGTACCAGAATCAGATATTTTGACAAAAAAATTTGGTATTTCGTTCCTTTACTTGATCCAATTTGACTTTTACACTATTCACATCCTCTCATTAGACCAGGGGCGAAGCTAGGATTTTCAACACCTGGAGGCCGGACTTGTTAGACTAGAGATTGATGGAAAAAAAAAAATTGTACTAATATTTTATTGTTACCAAAACAAATTAGTTGAATCGTATACTACGATTTTACACAGTAGTAAAATAATCAATCAAAGATTCAACACTAAAATTTACAACAATCTATTTTTCTATATATACTACCAAAAAATATCTAAGAAAATCATCCTCCATTCAATAAAAAAAAATTAGCCAAAATCATAAAATATAAAATAAACATATTAACCAAGTAAACAACTAATCACAATCATGTAAATACCACAAAGAAATTTATTAATTAAATGAAATTACATAATTTAAACAAATTAATCAAAAATAAGAAATTAAAAAAAAAAAACCTGATTTGGCTGATTTGCTACTGAACAACCCCTAGTGAAAATGCTTCATTACCCAACCAACATGACAAGCTATGTTTAATGTTACTAACTAGTGAGTAGTCCGTGCGTTGCCCCGCGTTGCTACTATTGTAGACGTGCAATCGATAAATTTTTTAAACAGTTTTCAAAACTGTAATTGTCACTGTCAAACTAAAATCGAATTATTCTTTGAGTATTTTTTTATTATTTTTTTAATAATTGAACCTTATGGTTTGCACTTATATAATTTTTTTTTTACATATTAATAACATCATTGATAATTAACTTAGATGGTTGAATAGTTATCTTTGTTACAAGAGGTTGAGGGTTTGATCCTCCTTATCCTTACGTTTTTATATGGAGTAATGTTGGTTGCTTGGTGATGTGGCATTGTTTGAGTGATGATGTGGCCGATCCGATATCCGAAGAAATTACCCAATGTTTCGGTATCAAAACAATGGGGCCTTCGGGTGGCCCTTTTGAGGTGGAGAAGACTGGTCTCGGTCCAAAAGATACTAAAGCCGAGGATTTCCTGCACAGCAAAGAACACGTAAACTAACCTCGGGGGTGGTTGCCGAGGAAGGCTCCTCCGATGCTAAAGTCATTTCAATTGAGAGAGAGTGCTATGCAAGAGATTTTGTGCTTAAAGCTTAGTTGCATGAATGTAAATAGATGTAATTGATGGCGTTTATACCTTAACTCAATTGAGGAGAGTTGGGCCTTTGAAATCAAGTGGGCCGACCACATTGACTGGGCTTTTATTGACCTTAGTATGCTTTTGGAGAGTTGAACCTTGCTTTGGGCTTGAGTTGAGTTATTTGGACTAGGCCCAATTAGATGGACCAAATTGGACCTAAACAACTTGTCCCCCAGACCCGATTCGGCTGAAAGACGGGTTGGATTTGACTTGTGAATATGGAAAGACAAATAACGGCAACTTCAGCTTTGAAGGAATCTAGGCAATTAATGATGTTTAACTTCCATTAAGGAGATTAATTAGGTAAGATAGAGGGTTTAGTGGGTAGTTAACTTGGAACGTGTGACAATTTGTGTTTAATTTGGAATTCGTGGGGTTTTTGGCGGCTTAAGGTTTCTAGAATTCTTGACTCCTAAAATCCGCGTATAAAATCACTCTCTCCACTTTTCTTAATCATTTTCTCGCAAACACACGAATTTCCTTAAGTTTACTGAACTCACTGAATACCCTAGCTTTTCGCCGCCCTTAATCTCTGCAATTCCGTTGCTGAAGTCAGAATTTGTTGCTGCGAACTTGAAGATCGGCGAATTCTGAGTCTTGTCAAGGTAACTTTTTCCGAAATTTGCTTGGATTTCTCTTGTTTTGAGTATTGTACCCTTTTTTCCCAGTATCCGTTTCTTCGTAATAATGGTTAGAAGTAGAATCGAGAGGGAAAGATCTTCGAGTGAAGAGGACGATCTTCTAATGACTGTGCTCGGTGCTCGGCGCAACCAGCCTTTACAGCGGATGCCCCCTCTCAGCCACAAGCACAACTCTCCACTTTCAAGGAGAGAAGATAGGATTTCCTCCCTCGAACCCCCTGTTGCTGCAATTCCTCCGAACTCGGTACCGTATAGAGGCTGGGAAGAGGCCACAACCTCAACCAGCGGCTCCAGGCACGGACCGCGGCGATTGCCGGAAGGAGCCAAGGAATGGCAAAATCCGCCTGAAAACGGCGGGTTAATGACTGCTGCCCCCTATGACTGGTGGGTCAAAAGGGATGCCCTCCATCACTTCGCCGAGCAAATAGAAATCTTCTACGACATAATGGAGGAGGACGGGTATTGGTGCCAAATGTCCGTAGCCGAAGATATAATCCATAGGCCGCCACCTGGTTATCTGGGCGTATACACCAGACAGCTGCAGTTTGGCCACAGATTCCCTCTCCACCCCTTTATTGTCCAGGTGCTGAACGGGCACAACATTTCTCTGTGCCAATTGACCCTGGTCAGCATCCGAAGAGTCATGATGTTTTTATGGGTCAGTCTCTTCTACGGATTTCTGCCGAGCATCCATGTCTTCAGAAAGCTGCACAAATTGGTGCCGAACCAGCAGTCCAATGAGCACCATGGACATGGGTGGTGGAGAATAGAGACCCAGAGGGGGTATTTGACCACTTGGCCGAAGGACACTTCGGACAAGGAATGGAGAGGTTAATGGATTTAGGTTCGGGCTCTTGCTGAGGAGGACCATCCGAACTATTTTGGGGGCTGAGGTATTTGAAAATGCCTGACCCGAAAATGAGCATCCTCGGCCCCGATGACTTTTCTACCGAGGAAGAGGAGTTACTGAAGCTCTTCAAGAGAGATTCACACACGAAGGGTGCCAGCTGAACAACTGGGTTGCCAGAGACCTGGCTCCCCTGCTACCATTATATCTTCAAAGAGAAGATATTGGTTGCTGTCGGCCTCAGCCGAAAGTTTTAAGATGGTGAGAACCTCGGCTGGGGCCGAAAATCTTTACTTAGCTTATTTTTCTCCTTTTAAAGCCTTATTTCTTCATGTAGAATAACCCTTTGTTTTTTGTGTTTCAGTGCTGCATGAAGGAAACTGTGGCTTGGAATACAACCGGCTTGGGATCAACGCAGCTCGGAGGGTGATAAGGGGTGACCCTGTTATCACCCCTCCATCCGCTAGGGCTCTTGCACTGTGCCCTTCTCAGCTGGAAATTGTTAAACAGCTGAGTATTCTGCTCAGAAGCTGTGGTATCTGAAGAGGGACTCGTTCTTTTTGCTGGGCCTCGAAGAGCACATTCTTGCGGCTGCAGCTGCTGCTAGGGCTGGGGGTTTTACTGTTAACTCCGAGCACTACGCTGAGCCATCAACATCTATTGCTAGGCTGAACGTGCTCACTGCTTCAGACGAAGAACTACTAAGAAGTTCGATAAGCTTTTTAAGTGCTTTTGAACTTTTCTACTTTAACTTAGAATTTTGCTTGAATCTTCAACTTGTGAAATGATCCTGAAAATTTTTCTAAGTATTAAGATTCGGCTAATAGGCCTCTTCCTTTGTGAGAATTGCTCAAGTGTCAAGTCTCGGCTTTAAGAGAGTTTGCCGTGTTGTTTTTTTTTATGATACTGATACTCATATCCCCCTTGCCCCCCTTGTTTCTTCTACTGCAGTCTGACGAAGAAGAAGAAAACAAGGACGCTGAAGGAGTTGCCTCTTCTTCAGACGAATCTTCAGAGAAAGAGATGGCCCCTGGAAGGAGGATATTGAGGAGAGCTGTTGTTGGTCCGGGATAATTCCCGGCTTCAGAGCCTGCAAATAAGAGACCTCGGCTTGGGTCTTGAGACCCAAGCCGAGGAAATTAAGGAAAAGACTCCCCCTCTCCTCCTGAGCATCAGGAGGAAGAAGTGCATCAAAGGACTCCTCCTGTTCTAACAGGGTCTCCTCGGCATGCGGCCGAGGATTTCACAGACGAAGTCCAGAGAGAAGCTGATGCACTCATTATGCAGCACTCCGAGGACGACGATGTGCAGATTTTGTCGGGGATACCCAATGATTTCAAGGAGGTAGACGAGAGGGTTGAGGTTCCCAAGGAATCTGACATTCCATCATCTGCTTTCCTTTAAAACCTTTCAATCCGGAGAGATGGGGTTTGATGCTACCCCCATGGTGGTAGTCCCTGAAGCGACCAGGAAAAGGTTGCATCTTCACCGAGGCTCGGACCTTGACCTCTTTGGTGACCTGTCCAGCGTTTCTGAGCTGGAGAAAGCTGAGAGGTGGTCCATTCGCGCTGCTACGGGAGTGGCAGAACCTTTGGTGAAGGTGCCAGACCCTATTGCTGAGAACAAAAAGTTATTGATGCAGGTAATTCATGCTCAAACCTTTGTCTTAAGCTTGCTTGCTTTTCAGTTCTCTTTTCTTTTCTTCTTCTTTATTTTTCTTTTTTTTTAACATCTCCTTTTCCTCGGCTAATGCATTTTCCCATCTTGCCAAGCTGTCCACAACAACGTGCTGGAGGCTGGCCTGAACGAAGAGCTGAGGCTCAAGGTAGAGGAGGCTGAGAACCGGGCTTGGCTTTATGAACTTAAATGCAAAAAGGCAGAAGACGAATCTTCTGCTAGCCTATCTCGGATGAGGGATGTGGATGCTCAGCTCCAAGATTTCTGCCAGGGGATTGAGCGGACCGTTTTTCCCTGGATTAAGGAGGGCCATGACTTGATTCAGGAGTACAGTGTCGTTGACATTCCGAGTTTCAAAGCTCGGATCGAGGAGAAAATGAAGAAAGAGGTAGAAACTCGGCGAGCTATAGCCGAGGATTTGGAGATGGAGAGGGCCAATCATGAGGCTGAGACTCGGCGGCTTGTCTGCCACCTGGATGCCAAGGACTCTGACCTATCTGCCATGAGGTCCGGTCTACAAGAGCTGAAGGCTCAGTTGGCAGCACAGCTTGAGGAAACTGCCAGGGCTAAAGGATAGGCTGAAAAGGCTAAGGCAGATCTCTCGGCTGCCAATGACTTGTTAAAGGTCCGCATCTATACCCGAGCACAATGGTTTTGACAACGGGTTCAACGCTGCTCGGCGCCTGGCCTTCCATGCCTACCCAGAAATCAACTGGAACCAGGTCAAGGAATGGGCAGCTGTCCCTAACCATCCAAAGATGCGGGTTGCCCATCCGACTGAAGATGGGTAATTAGCTCACCTCGCCGAAGCTGAGGCCGAGAAAGATGGGGGTGAAGATGGGGATACGACCAAAGAGATCGACGTTGTTCACCCTGCCTCATCTTCTGCTGATGAGACCTTGAAGGCTCCAACCTCAGATCCAGCCAATGCCGAAGCATAGGGACTCGGGCAGTTGTCTGCAGAATCTTGCGGATCTACATGTTCTTAATTGGATTAATGCCGCAATTGCTTTTTGCCTCTTTTTTGCTTAAGCTAGCCTTCCCTTGTAAAACTTCTGTTTGTTTAAGTATATTTCCTCGGCAGCTATGTTTTCCGCTTGTGGGCGGCTGCCGATTTCTAGGATTTCTTTTTACTCTTGACAATTGGAATTCTCAATTTATGGTTTTTATGAAGTATTTTCTCAATTTGCTTCTCTCATTGCCTGCTTTAATGCTCTTTGTACTATAACTGCTTTTCTGAATTTCTTCAAAATTTGGCTAAGTGTAGAACTTCGGCTTGGAGATACACTTGACTGAGAATATACTTTGACTGAGAGTGTACTGTCTCTGCTTGCATTCCTTTTGCCTTACTCGTTTTTACTCGGATATTTCAGCTTGTGAAATTTTTTTCCAAGTACCTAGGTTTGGCTAGGAACTTGCCAAGTGAGTGCCTCTTGCCCCCCCCCAGAATCTGAAGATGATGTCTTTAGAATTCTTGGATAATTGCCTTTATTTCCTCGGCACAACCGAGGGTCTTGCCTTGGTGAAAATTTTGCACTATTTTTGCTCATTTTGCTTTCTCTCTTCTATTTTTGTTTTCAAAAGCTCTGATTTCTCGCTTAAGAGCCATAGACTCTGAGAGCAATACTCTTGTGACACTTTGAATTCATCCGAGGGAACGACTATCCGAAACACTATGCCGAGGCAGTGATCTATCCAAAACATAATGCATCACTATGCAATAATTCGGAAATGCAACCACCACCCAGAACTGATTCATCCGAAGTACAAGGCATCACTATGCAATACTTCGGGGCTTTATCAGTCCTCATTTTGTAGGCTATGTTTCGGATGCGCCTATGGCTTCTTTGCCCAGAGGAACAGATTCATCCGAAGTAAAAGGCATCATTATGCAATACTTCAGGCTTTTATCTTTTATCCTCATCTCGGCAGGTTTTACGACTTGCCGAAGTACGTGCATCATTATGCAATACTTCAGACAGCGCCGAACGAAAACCTTGAATTTTTGCAAAAACCATAGAAGATAGAGAAAATAGAAATACATCTGAATTTGGATAGATGGTGGCTCAAAGGCCTTTTCATTGATAAGAAATAATGTACTTACATAGATTGTTCTTTCCCGAAGGGATTTACACATGATATTTTTTGAGTACATCAGCATTCCAATGGTTTTTCAGCTCGGTGCCATCCAACTGTCGAAGTCGGTATGTGCCTGGCTGAAGCTCATCATATATTTCATAGGGTCCCTCCCAAGTTGCTGAGAGTTTACCATGAATGCGGCCTTTTTGCACATCAGCAGCATTCCGAAGAACCAGGTCTCTGACTTTAAGAAGCTTTTGGTGGACTCTTCGATTATAAAGTTTTCTGATTCTCTGCTTATATGCAGTCATTCTATCCCAAGCTGAATCTCTGATCTCATCCAGGAACACTACAAGAATTAAGGAAATTTCCGGCGGAATTGACGTCCGTCGGAAATATTCCGTCGCAAAAAGGGGCATTTTCCGACGGAAACAAGTTCGTCGGAATGTTAATGAATTTCCAACGGAAGTACGCATTTTTCGAGGGATATTTCCGTCGCAAAAATTCCGACGGAATTGTTCCGTCGGAAACCAATATTTCCGACGGATTTTTTCCGTCGGAAAATGTTTTGAACCTAGGATGCCATTTCCGACGGCAAATTCCGTCGGAAATCCGTCGGAAAATGCATTGGATAGTGGTTCTGCGCATAGGATACCATTTTCCGACGGATTTACCGACGAAATTTTCCGTCGGAAAATCCGTCGGAAATTTTTTTGGCCTTAATTCAGCGCGCCTTGGTTTTTCAGAAACTTTTTCCCACTTCTTTCGTCTTCCTCATTGCTTTCCTCATTTCGTCTTCCTCCTTCACTCTCAACCTCCCTTACCACTTGCTCCAAGCTCGAAATCAACAACACCCATTAGCAATCCGGTAAGTGTTTTTAATGTTTATGTTTATGTTAATTTATTTGTTTAATTTTTAATATCAATAACCCCATACTTAATCCGATTCGTTTTTCATGTGTGTTCTTCGTTTTTATGCTCAAAAACGCCCATTCATGTTAGTTTTTAAGTGAAATTAGGTTAGATTATGTGAAAAACGACTCAATTATGTTTATTAGTTTAGTTTATATGTTAATTATGTTTATATGTTAGTATAATGGTTTAGTTTATTAGTTTAGTTTATATGTTAGTTTATTAGTTTAATTTATCACCAATAACATATATTATGTGAAAAACCTAACTAATTATGTTAATTATGTTTATATGTTAGTTTAATTAGTTTAGTTTATTAGTATATATAATGTATATGTTAGTTTAGTTTAGTTAGTTTAGTTTAGTTTAGTTTAATTAGTATAATGTATATGTTAGTGCAAGTTATATATATTAGTATAATGTATGTTATTAGTTTAGTTTATATTAGTATAATGTATATTATTAGTTTAGTTTATAATAGTATAATGTATATTATTAGTTTAGTGTATAATAGTATAATGTATGTTAGTTTAGTTTCGTTTAGTTTAGTATAATGTATGTTAGTTTAGTTTAGTTTCGTTTAGTTTAGTATAAGGCCTTAGGTATGTTAGTTTAGTTTGGCATAATGTATGTATGTTAGTTTAGTTTAGTTTCGTTTAGTATAATATATGTTAGTTTAGTTTAGTTTAGTATAATATATGTTAGTTTAGTTTAGTATAATGTATGTATGTATGTTAGTTTAGTTTAGTATAATGTATATATGTTAGTTTAGCATTTCAATCTTCTAAAAATGTTTGAAATGAATAATACTCGTTAAAGTTAGAATCATGAAACGAAGAGAGCGGAGCTGGATGTATGATAGATTGGATGGGCGTTCTATTAAGCCTGGGTTCTTAAAAGGGGTAGAGGAATTCATACGGTTTTGCGAAGAGCATCGTGAGACTGCAAAGAATGAATATAGGTGTCCTTGTGTTAAATGCAATAACAGACGTTTTCAGGATCCGGACACAGTAAGAATTCATTTGTACAGCAAGGGATTCACTCCTCGTTATTGGGAGTGGCTTTGTCAAGGGGAAGGGTTACCTGAATCCTCAGTAGAAGGCCAGTCAAACGAATATCGTGATATGGTTATGGATGTTGTTGGTCATAATTATGATCGATCGGGTACTGAAGCTGCAGAGGAGGAGCCTAACGCTGAAGCAAAGCGTTTTCTTGATTTGTTGAAGGCGTCTGAACATCCATTGTATGAAGGGAGTTCGATGTCGGTTTTGGAGGTGGCGGCAAGAATTACTAGCTTAAAGTGTGAGTACAATTTGCCGCACAGGTGTGTCGATGGGTTCGTTTCATTGTTGACAGAAGTGATCCCTGGCAGCAGTCGTTTGGGTGAGACATTCTACGATGTTAAGAAGGTTGTTAAGGGGTTGGAGCTGCCGCATGAAAAAATTCATGCATGCGCCAAGGGTTGTATGTTGTTTTGGAAAGAGGATGCTGAACTTCCTACTTATAGAGTGTGTGGCAGTGATCGATATAACAGAATTTTTAAAGGCAGCTTGGTTCCGAAGAATGCGCTATTTTATTTCCCGATCACACCTAGGTTGCAAAGGATGTTTGCAACGAAGAACCTTTCAGAGGAAATGAGTTGGCATGCAAATAATCCTTGTGTCAAAGGCACGATGGCACACCCTAGTGACACTGAAGCTTGGAGACAGCTTGATACCTGCTTCCCAAAGTTTGCCTCGGATCCACGGAATGTTCGACTAGGGTTGTGTACAGATGGTTTTGCTCCTCATGGTAAGTTCGGGGGTCAGTACTCTTATTGGCCCGTGATTTTGAACCCATACAATTTTTCTCCCTCGATGTGTATGAAAAGACAGTTCATGTTCTTGTCACTGATAGTCCCTGGCCCCAAAAACCCGAAGGGAAATTTAGATGTGTACATGCAACCACTGATACTGGAGCTGAAACAGTTGTGGGAAGTTGGCGCAAGTACTTATGATATATCAAAGAAACAAAACTTCAACCTTAGAGCAGCCATCCTATGGACCATTAGTGACTTCCCTGCATATGGTATGTTGTCTGGATGGTCTACGGCTGGTAATAAGGCATGCCCGTACTGCATGGAAAAAAGCAAAGTTGCTTGTGGGAGCTTCCGTATTGGAAGCATTTGCTGATTCGTAACAACTTAGATGTCATGCACATTGAAAAAAACTTCTTTGATCAAATATTTCACACTATAATGGATGTGAGAAGACAAACTTGTGACACACCTTCGGCCAGAAAAGACATCGCCAAATATTGTTGGCGACCACAACTTCATCTACAGGCTGCTGATAGCGGGAATGAGGTCATGCCAAAGGCCCCATTCTCCCTCGATAAGGGTCAGAGGAAGGTTTTGTGTGAGTGGGTTCGTGACCTGCGATTCCCTAACGGTTACGCCTCCAATTTGAGCAGATGTGTGGATCTGCAGGCGTGTAGAGTACATGGAATGAAAAGTCATGATTGTCACGTGTTCATGGAGAGGTTATTACCTGTCGCTTTGAGAGAATTTCTCCCTGTTCATGTGTGGAATGTAGTTACAGAGATCAGTCAATTCTTTAGAGACTTGTGTTGCTACACAGTCACAGTCAGTGACATGGAACGGCTGGAAAAGAACATTGCCGAGATCCTTTGCAAACTTGAGAAGATTTTTCCACCTGCATTCTTCAACTCCATGGAGCATTTACCCATTCACTTACCGTACGAGTCAAAGTTAGCTGGACCTGTGCAGTATCGATGGATGTATCCGTTCGAGAGGTAGTGAACCCTTGATTTAGTTGTTGAGCAGTCACAAATTCAACGTTTAGTTTCATAACATACTTTAATTTCAGGTTCCTTAACCATATAAAACGGAAAATTGGCAACAAGGCTCGCGTTGAAGGTTCGATAGGCAGCGCTTACCTTACTGAGGAGACAGCAAATTTCTGCTCAAATTACTTCCAGCCGTCAGTTGACACAAAAACACGAGATCTGGGTCGGAATGTGAATGCTGATGTTGACACCTCCATCGACACCAATGACATCCCAGAACTGTTCACGGAGGACAGCGGTCGTGTGTCAACCGAGGGAAAAATGAGGTGGTTAGATGAAAAAGAATTTCAACGTGGGCACTTGTTTGTTTTATCAAATAGTGGCATATTAGGTGATTATGAAAGGTAATCCACAGTAACTAAATTGTTTCCATCATATGATCACGTGTACTGAGTTTCACGGTCATTAACATGTTCTTGCTGTTGTAGCAGGAGGTTTGAGGACCATATTCTTAGCGCCCGTCCTACTCTGCGTAGAGAAGATGTATGGGAGACATTCGAAACACAGTTCCCTAATTGGTTTAGGGACAAGGTGCGACCTCTTTCAAATATAGGGATATTTATTGATTTCTGTATGTATAATCCAAATATGACGTCCTTTAATTTTATCTAACACTAATAGGTAACTGAAGAGAAACCAAGATCTGATGTGTTGCAAGCTTTGGCTATGGGTCTGTTCAAGAAAGTTCGCACTTGGAGCCGAATATTTGTTAGTGGTTTCAATTTCCATACGCAAGACTACGGCAGACATAAGGGCACGATCAATTACGGTGTGTGTGTGTCCAGTCAAGATGGAGGAGAGTATTTTGGCATGTTACAAGACATTATTGAAGTGGTCTACACTGGTGCGATCCGTGAATACAAGACCATCTTGTTTAAGTGTAGTTGGATGGATTGTGGTAGGGGTATGAACATACATGAACAATACAAGCTTGTTGACGTGAATCATACTAAGAAATACCCCAAGTATGACCCATTCGTGCTGTCTTATCAAGCTGGTCAGGTGTATTATCCACCATATCCGAGCCTCAGACGGGATCGGTCTCAATGGTGGGTTGTGTTTAAAACGCAGTCAAGGTCCGTTGTGGATGCTCCTGTTGACCCGGAGTTCTTGCAAGGAACACAAACACGAGAATGCAGTACACTCTTCCCACCAACTAATATCCCGGACTACGGTGGCGATGGAAACGGTGGAGATGATAATGCATTTGTTGTCTCCGAGGGTGAGGACGACGATGTTGTGTCTGCTTCTGAAGACGAATCAAGCGTCTCTTCAAGTGACAACGAAGAGGACAGTGACGAGGATGAGGACGACATTGTTGTTTTTGATGATAGTAATGATGATAACAGTAGTGATCATTGTAGTAGTAGTGATAGTAATGAGTAGCTTTATTGATTTATATGAGGAATACAACTATTTATGCAATGTATGTTATGTATGTATGTATGTATGTTATGCCCTTGAACTGTTTTGTAGGGAACCATGGCCGGCGGAAGAAAGGGAGACAGTTCGAGTAGGAAGACGCGCAGATCTGATCCTTACCCCTCGTACCATGTGTCAGACAGCCAGCAGGCCCCCGAGACCGCTGAGGATAACTCAGTTCATGTTCAGGGTCTGGGTGACAGTCAAGTACCAGATTCGCGTACTCAGCATGAGGATCTGTCAGAGCCCCGGAGTTCAGAGCAGTCGACGGGGCACTGTGTGCCACGCCTAGACCCGACCACGCTGTGGTAAGAGTATTAGACCATGTATGTTATGTGCATTTCGTGATTCAAATTTCTAATTATCAAAAGCTACTGACGTCGTTTTTGTTGTTCTGAAACAGGTTTGATGACCAAATAGTGAAGAAAGCCGTCTCCGGCTCGATCCAGGGGCACTACACAGCGCCTTGGAGGAACTATGGAGAGGTTGACGATGCCACGAAAACCCATTGGTGGAACTTGTTCAGCGTATGTACCAATACAATTGTGTATTATTTTATTTTACAAAATATTTTGTTGTTACGTTTTACGAGTTTTGATTTCGCAGCAACATTTTACGTGGTCACCGGAGCTGGACAATCATGTACGGTCGGCATTCAAAGCTCGGGCTGGTACCCGCCTTCGTGACATGTTTTACACTGTCACGAAGAAGATGAAAGGTGTGAGACCGTATTGGGTGTCGGAGGAAGTGCACAAGAAGATGATGGAGATTCCGGATTCTGATGGCACGTACCAGAAGCGGTCCACCCAGAACAGGCTGAACCGAAGAGGCGGTTCCATGGAGAATGAGGTGGAGGCAACCCACTTCCAGGGTTCCATATCAGCGGCACAGCATGCAAAACGGATGGTATGTATATGAGAAATGTTGTTTATGGTTTTGCAGTAATTCAGTTTACATATTAAAGTGATTTATTTTTGTTTATGTGCAAAGGCGGCGGAAAACCAAGGGAAACTGCCATTCGCTGCTGATCTGTTCCTGAAAACGCACTTCAAGGAGGTGCCAGGTAAAGGAAAGGTGCCGACAAACAAAATGTCCAAGGAGATTGCGGTAATAAATTCAATAATTTAATTTCTTGAAAATCACGTAAATCGTCCCGAAACTTAGTGAAATGCATCTAGGGTTCGTTTTCAACGCATGAACACTTGTAACTAGGCTATATTGGTATGTTAGTGCAAGTTATAGGTTAGTTTGATAAGAGATGTAAAAAATAGGCAAGGTAGAGCCCTTTTTGGCCCCTTTTCCCTTGAAAATCACGATCATCGTCCCGAAACTTAGTGAAATGCATCTAGGGTTCGTTTTCAACGCATGAAAACTTGTAACTAGGCTATATTGGTATGTTAGTGCAAGTTATAAGTTAGTTTGATAAGAGATGTGAAAAATAAGCAAGGTAGAGCTCCGTTTGGCCCCTTTTCCCTTGAAAATCACGATCATCGTCCCGAAACTTAGTGAAATGCATCTAGGGTTCGTTTTCAACGCATGAAAACTTGTAAATAGGCTATATTGGTATGTTAGTGCAAGTTATAGGTTAGTTTGATAAGAGATGTGAAAAATAGGCAAGGTAGAGCCCTTTTTGGCCCCTTTTCCCTTGAAAATCACGATCATCGTCCCGAAACTTAGTGAAATGCATCTAGGGTTCGTTTTCAACGCATGAACACTTGTAACTAGGCTATATTGGTATGTTAGTGCAAGTTATAGGTTAGTTTGATAAGAGATGTGAAAAATAGGCAAGGTAGAGCCCTTTTTGGCCCCTTTTCCCTTGAAAATCACGATCATCGTCCCGAAACTTAGTGAAATGCATCTAGGGTTCGTTTTCAACGCATGAACACTTGTAACTAGGCTATATTGGTATGTTAGTGCAAGTTATAGGTTAGTTTGATAAGAGATGTGAAAAATAGGCAAGGTAGAGCCCCGTTTGGCCCCTTTTCCCTTATAAATCATGATCATCGTCCCGAAACTTAGTGAAATGCATCTAGGGTTCGTTTTCAACGCATGAACACTTGTAACTAGGCTATATTGGTATGTTAGTGCAAGTTATAGGTTAGTTTGATAAGAGATGTGAAAAATAGGCAAGGTAGAGCCCCGTTTGGCCCCTTTTCCCTTGAAAATCACGATCATCGTCCCGAAACTTAGTGAAATGCATCTAGGGTTCGTTTTCAACGCATGAACACTTGTAACTAGGCTATATTGGTATGTTAGTGCAAGTTATAGGTTAGTTTGATAAGAGATGTGAAAAATAGGCAAGGTAGAGCCCTTTTTGGCCCCTTTTCCCTTGAAAATCACGATCATCGTCCCGAAACTTAGTGAAATGCATCTATGGTTCGTTTTCAACGCATGAACACTTGTAACTAGGCTATATTGGTATGTTAGTGCAAGTTATAAGTTAGTTTGATAAGAGATGTGAAAAATAGGCAAGGTAGAGCCCCGTTTGGCCCCTTTTTGACACAAAATCACGTAAATCGTCCCGAAACTTAGTGAAATGCATCTAGGGTTCGTTTTCAACGCATGAACACTTGTAACTAGGCTATATTGGTATGTTAGTGCAAGTTATAGGTTAGTTTGATAGTCAGTGTGAAAAATAGGCAAGGTAGAACACTTCTAAGGTTCGTTTGTCTCGTCAATTTTTCTGTTGATAAGAACCCTTTATTGTTGGCCTTTTTTCTCTTCAAACGTCATTATTTCTTAATGTATCTCGGTTATGTTATGCAGGAAACATATCAGAAAATGGTTGAGGAAGCAAGCAGTCAGGAGTCTTCCAGAAGCCAAGATGAGCTGTACTGGGATGCAGTAGGCGGGCGTAACAAGAAAGGCCGAGTAAGGGGGCTTGGTCGAGGTGCTGAGTTGT